GCCCCGCCCTGCCTTCCTTGCGTCGAGGGGCGGCAGCGCACCGCTCCTCACTCCTCCTTGTTTCCCCCGATGACTACTTCCCCATAGACTCTCCAGATGGACGTGTGGGGCCCAACCAACCCGCGTCCGTGGACAGGGCCGCGAGCACTACTTTTTGCTGGTTGCTGACGACTACACGCGTTACACCACAGTCTCCCCCTTGCGCAGCAAGGGTGAGATCCCTGACGTCTTGATCCCTTGGATTTGCGCAGTCCGTCTCTAGCTCCGCGAGCAGTTCCGTGAGGACCTTCCTGTCCTGCTCCTGCACTCTGACAGAGGTGGTGAGTTCTTCTCCGACCTCTTGCAGGACTTTTGTCGTAGGGAGGGCATCCTCCAGTCGTTCACGCTTCCGGCCTCCCCGCAGCAAAATGGGGTTGTTGAGCGACGCATTGGCTTAGTCATGGAGGTTGATCGTACCTCCATGATCCATGCGGCTGCTCCCCATTTTCTGTGGCCGTTTGTGGTCCAGTACGCCGCGCATCAGCTCAACTTCTGGCCCCGTGTCTCCTTGCCGCAGACCTCGCCTACACTGTGTTGGACGGGGGAGGTTGGCGATGCGTCGGTGTTCCGGGTCTGGGGCTGTCGTGCCTTTGTCCGCGATACCTCCGCGGACAAGCTCTCCTCCCGCGCCATTCCCAGCATCTTCCTTGGCTTTCCCCCTGACGCGCCTGGCTGGCAGTCATACCACCCCACCTCGCGCCGTGTCCTGCCCTCTCACGACGTCACGTTTGAGGAGTCGGTTCCCTTTTACCATCTCTTCCCCTACCGCACTGCCCCTCTCCCCCCCCCGCTGCTCTTCCTCGCTCCCGGTCCCCCTCCGGTAGACCCCCCTCCCCCCCCAGGGTCTTGCTCCCTCAGGTGTGTCTCAAGTAGACCCACACCCCGTGGCTGAGCCTGTCGAGGTAGTTGTCTGGTGCTGCTGGGGGAGGTACTGCTAGGGGTGTTGCGTCTGGGGGTGATGGGCCTGAGCGTGCGGAGCCTGGGGGTGCTGAGCCTGAGGTTGCTGAGTCTGAGGGTGCGGAGCCTGGGGGTGCTGAGCCTGGGGGTGCTGAGCCTGAGGGTGCGGAGCCTGGGGATGCTGAGCCTGGGGGTGCTGAGCCTGGGGGTGCTGAGCCTGGGGGTGCTAAACCTAAGGGTGCGGAGCCTGGGGGTATTGAGTCTGGGGGTGCTGAGCCTGGAGGTACTGTGTCTGCTGGAGGTCCTGCGGGTGCCTCGTCACGACGGGAGCCCCTCTCTCCACTACAGCTGCGTGAGTGGTTTGCTCGGCGCACCCGCCTTCGGAGTTGCGCCGCTGGAGCTGGGGGGGCTGCTGCTGGAGACACTGCCACTGGAGGCACTGGAGCTGGAGGCACTGGAGCTGGAGGCGCTGGAGCTGCTGGTCCTGGAGGTACTGGCGGGCCTACTGGAGCTGGAGGTACCGGAGGTGCTGGAGCTGCTGGTCCTGGAGGTGCTCGTGCAGGAGGTCCTGGAGCTGCCGGAGCTGATGGTGCTACTGGTGCTGGAGGTGCTGGAGCTGCTGGTCCAGGAGGTGCTCGTGCTGGAGGTACTGCAGCTGCCGGAGCTGGTGGTGCTGCTGGTGCTGGAGGTGGTGGAGGTGCTGGAGGTACTGGAGCTAGTTGTGCTGCAGGCGCTGGAGCTAGAGACATTGGAGTTGGAGGTGCTGGCGCCGGGGGTGCTGGAGCTGGTGGTACCAGTGCTGAGGCACTGTGCAGTAGCGACCGTTTTTGTTTTGCCGCCGCCGTCGTCTCTGCCGCCACCTAGCTTGGTATTTCGCCAGGTTCTTGGTCTCCCGTCTTCTACTGGCCTTACTCCTCCCTTACTGTGTCCACTGACTTACCAGTCGCAGCCAGAGTTACAGCCAAACTCCCCACTGCCTGCTCCTTCTCCTTAGACTGAGCAGACAGACTCTCTTACGGAGCGTCGTGAGCCTGCATCTCGTCCTGCCTCGCCTGTTCACGCTGGTCGTCGTGTTCCGCGTCCACGTCCTCCTCCTGTCCCCGGCACTCATCTTGTGACACTTCGTCCTTCCTCTATTCCATTGCGAGTTCCCTTGCCGTCTCCTCCTGCGTCCTCTCTTCCTGACGGTCCGGACCCTGAGTCTGACTTAGTTCGTGCTGCCAGTCCGACTCTCACACGTTTTCTAGCCACTGCTATCACTGACCCTTCGTTTGAGACCACTACTGCGTCTGCCCTTGTTGCTGAGCTTGTTGACTTTGCTGCCGCCTGTCGTCTTGACTACGCCGCTAGTCTTGTTGCTGAGTCTGAGTCTGTCTGTCATCCGTCCGTCAGGGGTGAGTGTGCTCTTGGCACGGACGTCCTTGAGGATAGGCAGGAGGACTTCGATTGTCTTGCAGCTGCTCTACCTCATCTCGTGTTCATGCTGCTTGCACCTGAGGGAGACCCGGATGCACCAGACATCCCGACCCCACGCACTGACGCAGAGGCGATTACGGGTCCCTACTCCTCTTAGTGGCAGACAGCCATGGACGCAGAGATGGCATCCTGGAAGTCCACAAGCACATACGTCGACGCAGTTCCCCCTTCTGGGGCGAACATAGTCGATGACATGTGGATTTTCAGGGTGAAGCGGCCGCCGGGTTCTCCACCTGTCTTCAAGGCTCATTACATTGCTTGAGGCTTTAGTCAGCGACAGGGAGTTGACTTCTTCCAGACCTTCTCCCCTACCCCAAAGATGACCACTCTTCAGGTGCTGCTGCATGTCGCCGCTCAGCGTGACTACGCGCTTCACTCTCTTGACTTCAGCACAGCTTTCTTACAGGGCAGCCTGCACGAGGAGATCTGGCTGTGCCGCCCACCTGGCTTTACCGGGTCGTTTCCTGCAGGTACCCAGTGGAGCCTTAGGCGGCCAGTCTACGGTCTCCACCAGGCGCCTCGCGAGTGGCACGACACACTGAGAACGACGCTTGCGGCTCTTGGGTTTGCTCCTTCGACTGCTGACCCATCGCTGTTTCTGCGCACCAACACTTCGTTGCCGCCGTTATACATCCTCCTGTACGTCGACGACTTGGTTTTTGCCGCTGCTGACACTGAGGCACTGGCCCTAGTGAAGTCGAAGCTGCAGAAGAGACACACATGCACAGACCTGGGTGAGCTGCGCAGCTATCTTGGCTTGCAGATCATCTGGGACAGAGCACGGTGCACCATCACCTTGACTCAGTTACACATGGTGCACAAGGTACCTTAGCGCTTCTGTTTTAAGTACTCCTCGCCACAATCCACTCTTCTGCCTACCGGCCGCTCGCTCTCAGGTCCACCTTCGGACGAGTCTGTAGAGCTGAGTGGCCCGTATTTAGAGCTTGTGGGCTGCCTCATGTACCTGATGACCTGCACTTGACCTGACCTTGCCTACCCTCTAAGCATCCTAGCACGCTACGTTGCGCCCGGGAGACATCGACCAGAGCACTGGGAGGCCACTAAGAGGGTGTTGCGCTACTTGTGCAGTACGTCGGGCATGGGGCTCGTGCTTGGAGGACGGGGTCGAGTTCTTCTCACGGATCACGCAGACGCGTCTTGGGTTGATGACTTGGTTACATAGCGGTCGTCACGGGGTTACACCTTCAGCATTGGCTCCGGTTCTGTTTTTTGACGGTCCACCCGCTCGTCTTCTGTTCTCAGTTCCACTTGTGAGGCTGAGATCTACGCAGGGGCCATGGCTGCACAGGAGTTACGCTGGCTCACCTACCTACTGACCGACTTGGGAGAGCAGCCTAGATCTCCTCCAGTTCTGTACGTAGACAACAAGGCCATGATTGCCTTGTGTCAGGAGCACAGACTGGAGCACAGAGTGGAGCACGGGACGAAGCACATTGCTCTGCGTTACTTCCTACCTCGAGAGTTGCAGCAGCGTGGTCAGCTTCGTCTTGCTTACGTGACCACTCGGGCCAACACTGCTGAAATATTCACCAAGGCACTTCAGCCTTGTGATCATCAGCGTTTCTGTACTGTTTTAGGCCTTGTGCCTACTTTGCCTCACTTGCACACTTCGTGACTTTGCTTGTATTGTGATCCATATATTTATACCTCCATGCTTACACTTGCTAGGCTGTGATCACTGTACTTGTTGTTCCCATTTATATAACTCTGCATGTGAACTGGCTTGTGACCTTTTGCTTGTGCTCAAAGTGTGTGGTGACTTCGTGATCCACCATGAGCTTGCTTTTTTCTTGACTGATCTTGTGACGTCTTGTTCTCCCCCATTTTGCCTATGGGGGTATGTCAAACTGTTATATTGTTGTGTAGGCTGCAGTAGGATAGCCTATTGTCAGAGGTCCACTGGTGATCCCCGATTGATCTTAGGGAAGGGTTACAGGCACGTTGGCCTGGGGGGTTATGGGCGCACTTACCCGCTTCACAAACAAGCCATTTTGTCCCAGTGGTTAGTGGCTGGGATTCTGACATGGTATCAGAGCGAAAGTCTCGGGTTTGAATCCCAGTTATGCACTTCGGGCATCCCAGTGCGGAGGAGTGTCAGAGGTCCACTAGTGATCCCCGATTGATCCTAGGGAAGGGTTACAAGCACGTTGGCTTGGGGGGTTATGGGCGCACTCGTCGGCTACACAAACAAGCCCTTTTATCCCAGTGGTTAGTGGCTGGGATTCTGACACCTACATGGGGTACAACCCAAATTAGGGTTAGCACTTGTATCAAGTTCTTACTCAACACAATCATTCCTGCTCGTTAGTTTTTGACACTGAGGCCCTGCTACTGATTATCCATTCAGGAGGGCGTTCCAAAGCCAAGAACCACGAGTGGAGGATAATTACAAACTAGGTGCGGCAATACCCTGAACTGTGGGAACTGGCGTGTCGAGTCTGTCTCTAAACCAGACTGTGAAGAACGCACCAGAGAAGACAGAACTTGGAGAGACTGAGAACGGAACAGAACTTCAGAATCAGCTGTGCCACGTCAGCAGGTACCAATACTTATGTCTGGTAGAGAGCCTAGGCCACAGCCACTTTTTCTTCCTCTGCGCCATCTCTCTCCCTCTCGGTCTGCAGCTGTGAGCAGAACTCCAGAATCAGCTGTGCCACGTCAGCAGGCCTCTCCACATGGGGGATGTGCCCGCACCCCTGAAGCTGCACCACGTCCCTGCAGTCTGGTAGCTCTGCCTTGAAGCGCTGCAAAAGGGAAAATGGGCAAAGGGAACACAAGTTGTTGGGAGGGAGGGTGTGTTTGCCTTGCACCTCTCCTCATGGGGGATGGGCCTGCACCCCTACAGCTGCACTATGCCCCGGCGGTCCAGCAGCTCTGTTTTGAAGAGCCGCAACTGGGAAGCAGAAGAAGCGGACAGAGGAGGGAGCGTGTGCATGGGAGGGCGAATGTGTGCAGGGTCAACGATCCTCTACCAGGCCAGCTTGAATATAATATTGATCTCATGTGCGTGCAGGTTTGGATGCATGCACGTGTTTGTGCAAGGGTGGTTGTGTGCATGGTGTGCGTGAGTGAGTGAGTGCGTGGTGTGTGTGGGTGTGGTGTGTCGGGTGAGTGAGAGTACGCATACCTCTGCCAGGCTGGGTTCAAGAATTTCATCCTCGCTCCCCCATACCACTAGGCATGGCTGGGAGACCTGTACATGACCGTTCAAACACATCCACATCCACATGCCCATACCCATGGGATGCAACAAAGAAACAAAGAAAAAAAGAGGGAGTTGGAGGCAAACAAAAGAAAAATGCATAGAAATATCACCTTATTAGACAGCGAATCAAAGTAATCTATACATAACCTCGCCCAATATCTTGAACACATGGTAACCGCATGAGGATATGACACCGGCACCCATCCTTCGCATCAGCTACGCCTCTATACTGACGGAACCCAAAGCATCGCATCATCAGACCTCACGTCCCCACTCTCTTCGACACGTGGTAACCACCCGATCGCATGAAATCAACCATTGCGTGAGCCAAATCAGGCATCACGCAGTGCAGGCAGCACAGTCAACTGCCTCTCCATACAGTGCCCATCCTACCCCCTCTCACCTCGCGCACTCTCTTGGACACCTGGTAACCGCCTGAGGGCATGAAATCAACCAGCAACGCCTCTAAGTTGAGGCAGCTCAAAGCATCACTCACCTCGCGCACTCTCTTGGACACCTGGTAACCGCCTGAGGGCATGAAATCAACCAGCAACGCCTCTAAGTTGAGGCAGCTCAAAGCATCACTCACCTCGCGCACTCTCTTGGACACCTGGTAACCGCCTGAGGGCATGAAATCAACCAGCAACGCCTCTAAGTTGAGGCAGCTCAAAGCATCACTCACCTCGCGCACTCTCTTGGACACCTGGTAACCGCCTGAGGGCATGAAATCAACCAGCAACGCCTCTAAGTTGAGGCAGCTCAAAGCATCACTCACCTCGCGCACTCTCTTGGACACCTGGTAACCGCCTGAGGGCATGAAATCAACCAGCAACGCCTCTAAGTCGAGGCAGCTCAAAGCATCACTCACCTCGCACACTCTCTTGGACACCTGGTAACCGCCTGAGGGCATGAAATCAACCAGCAACGCCTCTAAGTTGAGGCAGCTCAAAGCATCACTCACCTCGCGCACTCTCTTGGACACCTGGTAACCGCCTGAGGGCATGAAATCAACCAGCAACGCCTCTAAGTTGAGGCAGCTCAAAGCATCACTCACCTCGCGCACTCTCTTGGACACCTGGTAACCGCCTGAGGGCATGAAATCAACCAGCAACGCCTCTAAGTTGAGGCAGCTCAAAGCATCACTCACCTCGCGCACTCTCTTGGACACCTGGTAACCGCCTGAGGGCATGAAATCAACCAGCAACGCCTCTAAGTCGAGGCAGCTCAAAGCATCACTCACCTCGCACACTCTCTTGGACACCTGGTAACCGCCTGAGGGCATGAAATCAACCAGCAACGCCTCTAAGTTGAGGCAGCTCAAAGCATCACTCACCTCGCGCACTCTCTTGGACACCTGGTAACCGCCTGAGGGCATGAAATCAACCAGCAACGCCTCTAAGTTGAGGCAGCTCAAAGCATCACTCACCTCGCGCACTCTCTTGGACACCTGGTAACCGCCTGAGGGCATGAAATCAACCAGCAACGCCTCTAAGTCGAGGCAGCTCAAAGCATCACTCACCTCGCACACTCTCTTGGACACCTGGTAACCGCCTGAGGGCATGAAATCAACCAGCAACGCCTCTAAGTCGAGGCAGCTCAAAGCATCACTCACCTCGCGCACTCTCTTGGACACCTGGTAACCGCCTGAGGGCATGAAATCAACCAGCAACGCCTCTAAGTCGAGGCAGCTCAAAGCATCACTCACCTCGCACACTCTCTTGGACACCTGGTAACCGCCTGAGGGCATGAAATCAACCAGCAACGCCTCTAAGTTGAGGCAGCTCAAAGCATCACTCACCTCGCGCACTCTCTTGGACACCTGGTAACCGCCTGAGGGCATGAAATCAACCAGCAACGCCTCTAAGTTGAGGCAGCTCAAAGCATCACTCACCTCGCGCACTCTCTTGGACACCTGGTAACCGCCTGAGGGCATGAAATCAACCAGCAACGCCTCTAAGTTGAGGCAGCTCAAAGCATCACTCACCTCGCGCACTCTCTTGGACACCTGGTAACCGCCTGAGGGCATGAAATCAACCAGCAACGCCTCTAAGTCGAGGCAGCTCAAAGCATCACTCACCTCGCGCACTCTCTTGGACACCTGGTAACCGCCTGAGGGCATGAAATCAACCAGCAACGCCTCTAAGTTGAGGCAGCTCAAAGCATCACTCACCTCGCGCACTCTCTTGGACACCTGGTAACCGCCTGAGGGCATGAAATCAACCAGCAACGCCTCTAAGTTGAGGCAGCTAAAAGCGTCACTCACCTCGCGCACTCTCTTGAACACATGGTAACCGCCGGAGCGCACGAAACCAACCATGGCCTCTGCCCGGTCAGGCATCAAGCAGTGCAGATGGCCCAATCAACACCATATATTGCCAAGTCTTCGCCCGGTATTGCTGCTCTGCTCCTCTCAGCACATCCTTTGAGTCGACTCAAAAGTCACCATCAACACCATCTAGTGACAAGTCTTCGCCCGGTATTGCTGCTCTGCTCCTCTCAGCACATCCTTTGAGTCGACTCAAAAGTCACCATCAACACCATCTAGTGACAAGTCTTCGCCCGGTATTGCTGCTCTGCTCCTCTCAGCACATCGTTTGAGTCGACTCAAAAGTCACCATCAACACCATCTAGTGACAAGTCTTCGCCCGGTATTGCTGCTCTGCTCCTCTCAGCACATCGTTTGAGTCGACTCAAAAGTCACCATCACCATCTAGTGACAAGTCTTCGCCCGGTATTGCTGCTCTGCTCCTCTCAGCACATCGTTTGAGTCGACTCAAAAGTCACCATCAACACCATCTAGTGACAAGTCTTCGCCCGGTATTGCTGCTCTGCTCCTCTCAGCACATCCTTTGAGTCGACTCAAAAGTCACCATCAACACCATCTAGTGACAAGTCTTCGCCCGGTATTGCTGCTCTGCTCCTCTCAACACATCCTACCCCCTCTCACCTCGCCCACTCTCTTGGACACGTGGTAACCGCCGGAGCGCATGAAATCAACCATTGCGTCGGCCCAATCAGGCATCAGGCAATGCAGGCGGCCAACCTGCCATGTGGGTAAGGCGAGGAGAAAGAAGAGAGCTTGTTAGCACAGCCAAAAATCTTGACGCTTTTACTCTCACTCACACTCACTCACTCACTTGCTCACTCACTCGCTCATTAACTCACTCACTCACTCATTCATAGTGTTCTCATCTCATCCTTACAGGCCACATGTGCACCTGCACGTACACTCGTTGCATCTTCAATGAACTTCACTGTGCTTTATCATGGAATGCCATCTTAATGGCTGACATGCGCAGTTGCACACGCCCTATCTTTGAGTCACCTTGGGAGTACCCACACACACTCTTTCACTTGCAAACGTACATTCATTGCGTCTTCTGTTGACTGTGTCTTATCATGGAATGCCATCTTAATGGCTGACATGCGCAGCTACACACACTCTCTTTCTCACGCCCACTTGGACCACCAGTGCACAGTATGGCACATGCACTACTGGTAGCGCTACGGGTAAACGTACATTCATTGCGTCTTCAGTTGACTGGGTCTTATCATGGAATGCCATCTTAATTGCTGACATGCGCAGCTGCACACTCTTCAGCAGAGCTACCTGCGAGCATTCCCAAGGGCCGTCACACACACGCATAGAAACACACATAGTCACACAGGAAAACACAAGAAGAACACAGACATGGAAAGACAGGCACGCAGTGAGCTCTCATGTCACACAGCTGGTGCCCCATCTACCAGGCTAAGCATTCCTGAGCAAAGCTCTACCATACATACCTGCGAGTACTCCCAGGAGCGCTAGCATACAAGGCAGCAGGGCCGGACGGCCACCTAGGTGTTGCTGCCAGAACTGCAAGCAGAGGAGACGGGAAGGAAATGACAGGAAATAGCATTAGTCCATCTCGAAGGGAAGGCGGGAGGGAGGGCTGGTTGGCCCCCTAGGTGTTGCCACCAGAAATGAAAGGGACGGGAAAGAGAGCAACGAGGTAGCAGCATTAGTTCGCCTGAACAGCTAGGATTTCGAGCAGTGAGGGCTAAGGGCGTTACCAGGCTAATGTGCAGGAGAAAAGAGCAGGGGGAGGAGATTGGTACCAAATTCATTCAGGTGTTAGCCGGTGCAGGCAGTACCTGGTGCAGGAAAAAACCGGTCCAGACAGTACCTGATTCAGTTCAATAAATACTAGTGCAGGCAGCATTACTTAGTGCAGGTGGTACCTGGTGCAGGCAGTACCTGGTGCAGGCAGTACCTGGTGCAGGCAGTACCTACCTGGTATAAGTGCTCCCTCTTGGCATCCACGGAGAAGGACTGGATTCCCCGCTCTGCCATCACACGTAGTGGTGGGATGGTGGGATGGCGGAGAGACAGACAGTAAGCACATGCAGTGAGAAGGACTGCACTCCCCGCTCTGCCATCACATCACACGTGGTGGTGGGATGGTGGGATGGTGGGATGGCGGAGAGACAGACAGTAAGCACATGCAGTGAGAAGGACTGCATTCCCCGCTCTGCCATCACACGTGGTGGTGGGATGGTGGGATGGTGGAGAGAAACAGAGGAAATGTTATGAACAACTGCCTCTGGAGAGAAAGAGAGGAACAGTACAATGTGAGGGATGATGAGGCACCAATGCTTTGACAATAGAACAAGAATAATCATGATAACAAAATAATAATAATCATAATAAAAACTTTGGACTCACCCTTGGTGGTGCCTGAGAAGCCCCAGCCCAGAGTGTCCACCGCCCATGGCTCTGCTCCGTGCTGCTGGAACAAGACAGTGCCAGCAAGCCACCCAATCAGCACACCACTGAAACCCCTTTCCTCACCCTTGGTGGTGTCGGAGAAGCCCCAGCCCAGAGAGTCCACTGCCCATGGCTCTGCTTCATGGTGCTGCGGCATAAGATGAGCAGCAAACCACCCTATCAAGCACACCACTGAAACCCCTTTCCTCACCCTTGGTGGTGTCGGAGAAGTCCCAGCCCAGAGAGTCCACTGCCCATGGCTCTGCTTCATGGTGCTGCGGCATAAGATGAGCAGCAAACCACCCTATCAAGCACACCACTGAAACCCCTTTCCTCACCCTTGGTGGTGTCGGAGAAGCCCCAGCCCAGAGAGTCCACTGCCCATGGCTCTGCTTCATGGTGCTGCGGCATAAGATGAGCAGCAAACCACCCTATCAAGCACACCACTGAAACCCCTTTCCTCACCCTTGGTGGTGTCGGAGAAGCCCCAGCCCAGAGAGTCCACTGCCCATGGCTCTGCTTCATGGTGCTGCGGCATAAGATGAGCAGCAAACCACCCTATCAAGCACACCACTGAAACCCCTTTCCTCACCCTTGGTGGTGTCGGAGAAGTCCCAGCCCAGAGAGTCCACTGCCCATGGCTCTGCTTCATGGTGCTGCGGCATAAGATGAGCAGCAAACCACCCTATCAAGCACACCACTGAAACCCCTTTCCTCACCCTTGGTGGTGTCGGAGAAGCCCCAGCCCAGAGAGTCCACTGCCCATGGCTCTGCTTCATGGTGCTGCGGCATAAGATGAGCAGCAAACCACCCTATCAAGCACACCACTGAAACCCCTTTCCTCACCCTTGGTGGTGTCGGAGAAGCCCCAGCCCAGAGAGTCCACTGCCCATGGCTCTGCTTCATGGTGCTGCGGCATAAGATGAGCAGCAAACCACCCTATCAAGCACACCACTGAAACCCCTTTCCTCACCCTTGGTGGTGTCGGAGAAGCCCCAGCCCAGAGAGTCCACTGCCCATGGCTCTGCTTCATGGTGCTGCGGCATAAGATGAGCAGCAAACCACCCTATCAAGCACACCACTGAAACCCCTTTCCTCACCCTTGGTGGTGTCGGAGAAGCCCCAGCCCAGAGAGTCCACTGCCCATGGCTCTGCTTCATGGTGCTGCGGCATAAGATGAGCAGCAAACCACCCTATCAAGCACACCACTGAAACCCCTTTCCTCACCCTTGGTGGTGTCGGAGAAGCCCCAGCCCAGAGAGTCCACTGCCCATGGCTCTGCTTCATGGTGCTGCGGCATAAGATGAGCAGCAAACCACCCTATCAAGCACACCACTGAAACCCCTTTCCTCACCCTTGGTGGTGTCTGAGAAGCCCCAGCCCAGAGTGTCCACCGCCCATGGCTCCGCTCCCCCCTCCTCCAGGCGCTGATACACCCGCCGCCACTCCAGGCATGAGCTGGCAGCAGGGGCGGGAAGGCGGTGGGGGAAAGGAGTGAAAGACCATGAAAGGTCTTGACTGGGATACAATGCTCCTCCCTCTTCCAGGCGCCCATGGACCCGCCGCCACTCGAGGCATGAGCTGCATGGGAGGAGTTGACTTTTGAGTCGACTAAAAATGAATTTTGACTTTTGAGTCGACTCAAAAGTCATCCAGGCGCCCATACACCCGCCGCCACTTCAGGCATGAGCTGCACGGGAGGAGAAGGGGCGGGAAGGGGGGGACGAAGGTAGGAGGACCGGGGTAAAGGTGGGGAGAGTAACGGAGACTCGCTCCTCTCCTCCCTCCTCCAGTCGCTCATACATCCGCCGCCACTCCAGGCATGAGCTGCACGGGAGGGGAAGGGAAGGGGAGGTGGATGGAGGGAGGAGAGGAGTGGGGAATAGCCTACTGATGAGTCTCAATGATCCTCCCTCCTCCAGACGCTGATAGACCCTCATGGTCCTCATGACCCTCATGGTCCTCACCTCATGACCCTCATAGACTTCACTGAAACGCACCTGGCCTCACTGGCTTTACTGACACGTCAGAAACGGATCTCATTGGATCAGTTGACTCGTCCGAATTCGGTCTCAAGAACTCGACTGACCTGTCAAATCCGTGGAAGAGCAGGATGGGGACGGCTGTCTGGCCGGCGTTTTTTGGCACGATGCAGCCGCTCATGATTGGTTCTGAAGCAAGGTTGGTCTGGGTGGCAGGGGAGGGGAGGGGTGGGGAGGAGTGGAGGGGTGGGGAGGAGCGGAGCGGAGGCGGAGGAGAGAGGAGGAAGGGAAGGGAGGGAGGAAATCAGGGAAAAGGAGGGGAAAGCAAAGGCAGAGAGAAAGGGGGAAGGAAGGGTAAGGAGAGAACAGAGGGGAAGGAAGAGGTTATGAGGTCAGCAAGGGAGGGGTTGGAAGTGACATGGAAGAAGTTATAAGATGTAAACTGAGAATGGATCTCGACGGCATACATCCGATGGAATCGATCGTATGCCTTCTCCTATGCGTCCAATCCATTCCACTACCTCCCCACACCTGCAATCTGTCTCGTCACCTGCATCATCAACATCATCTATACCTCTCCTCACCTGCGGCAATCTTCACAGCCACCTCCTCTCACCTGCACCAGTGCCTACAGCTCCCCTATGCAGCAATCCTTAGAAATATTTACGCCAATACCTCCCCCCACCTGAAGCAATCCGTAGGAGCATCGACGCACTCACCTGTACTGGCAGCCTCTGAACGCGCCGTGCCAGCTGGCGAGCCGCCTCCTCTTCAAGCTCCGTCACTTGCGGCGGCAGAAACGCCGGAAATTCCGTGGTTTCCTCTCGTGGTTCGATGGACGGAGACGTGGCAACGCCATTGCCGCTGCGCGCCTCGGACTCCAAGCTTGCTGACACGCTCACTCTCCTGTAGCCGCTATTTCTGTTAACTCTGTAATTTATGTTTGTACCCTTATTTCTGTGAGCATGGCTTATGCTAAGCGGATGGGGAGCCAATAACGGAGATATCTGAATTGGTGACTGTAACGAAGCCCGACGAGACCCGCCATGCGCGTCTTGTCGCACGGCGAGCCTGCTCGTAACGGCAGCCTGCGAGTACGAAGCAATCGCAGCCATAGTAAAAGGCCTCTAAACAGCGTGTTTTAGCACCTGACGATTGAGCGACTCGAGACTGTCAGCAATGCATCAGGGAGTCAGATTTAGTAGCGGTGGAGAATCTGTTTGTGCTATATTTTTTCTTCAAGGCATCCCACGCTACCGAGCTTTATCGAAGCGAAGCGAATGCAACCGAAGACAACTGAGATGACTTTCCTGATCACTACACAGCGACAAGGACGATGCACTTCGACAGGTGACAATGCCGAGGGATGACTTGATTGGTACTATGGAATAAGCCGCTCATCACTCGCCACGTCAATTGCATTATCGGCAACACCAGGGCCGCTTTTCTTCGCAAAAATCACAGCTTCACCGTCTGAACCCAGCAATTCATGTAGTACTGAACCCAAATTTAAAAACTGCAACGACCCGCGAGGTTTTTGATGCTGGGTGGTACTTCTGTATTCTGAGTTCAGCATCACGTTTATGTTCCGAGTGCGCGTGAAAAAAACCTGACTGATGGTGAACTTCACACAACGAACGGAGGCAGAACACGCTGTACCCTCCCTGCGAGGCTTCATTCTACACGGCAGCACGCAATTCCGCCGAGGTGGGTGAGAGCAATCTCTCTCTCCAATCCGCTACGTTCCCGCGCAGCTTTAGGAGAGCCACTCATCCCTTCAGAATGTCGCCGCCACCGCAGCAGACTTGCGTGCTCCTGGTGAGCAAAAGCACAACAAACATCCACTACGTTTCAGTGCGTTTCAATGCGTTTCCACACGGTAAACGGGGAATGTTTAACACTAACGCTCTAGATCGCTTCGCACCGAACACGACATTGATCGTCAGTCTCTGTTCCCCACAAACCGCAGCTCTATCAGTTCTCTCCACTAACCTCCCAATTCACTTCCAGAATCTGGATTTCTCCCTCATGCACAGCCGACTCCTTTTTCAGCTTCAACTTCCTCCTCCATTCCGCTGTCTTTTATTCATGTCCCCCCGTGAACCAGTGCCGAAGCAGAATTTTCCGTGAACGATGCGCGTTTTTGCTCTGGATTGCTAGGCTGGTTCCACGTTGCCCACTACGCCTCGTTCTCGTTGCTGGTTGCTGTTCCTCATGGCGACTTCCAGTACCTTAAAAGAGCTGGTCCGCGTTTCTCATCCTCGACCTCTAGCTTCGCAACGCCCTAGCTTGGTTCACAATCACAACGCTCTAGTCTGCTTGACTCATAACCACAATTCTCCCAAAACATATCATGTATCGCTGTCGCATCGGCACGGCTTGAAAATTGGAACAACTAGAAAGGTTTCAAAGAATTTATCCTTTGTTCAAGCGACAGCATCGCGTGTGAGGTGCCACGTAGCGATTCCTGCGGACGTGAGCTCCGACAACGGCTCTTCAACTTCTGCCAAATCTCGTCGGAATCCATCAGTCATCGACGCCGATGATTCACATTCCCTCGCCGGGGGTTTCGCCGTGCCAGCTCACGAAACAGATGGACTCGTTGCCGGTTCGGTCCATGTGTATGGCGAAAAGCTCGAATTCAAAGGCGGAAGGCTGGCAGGAGGAAGCGCGGGAAGCAACCCGCGGGGACCTCGATCGCACGAGGAGATTCGCGAGCGGATAGCGTTGGAAAGGGCACGGCGGCGCGCAACGGACCGGCAATCTACCGCTCTCGTCCGCGCGCTGACGTGGGCTCTGCGAGGCGTGGATGACGTGGCAGCGGTGGATGCGGTTATGGCTGTCGCGGAGGAGGAAGGCGAGGAGGTGAACGCGCGAGTGGTATCTTCCGTGCTGCAAAAACTCGGCATTGAACGCCGAGTTGGTGCTGTGCTGGCGGTTTTCCATTGGCTGCAGCGTGCTTCTGGTTCCGAGACTGTCAGAAGCGGCACTGCAAAAACCGGTACGCCTGACTTTGAAAAAAACAGTCACGCACAGGAACAAGCAGTTTTTGAACAAGAGGAAGGAAGAAAAAGAGAGACTGAGGGGAGATGGAAGGGACTTTCTGAGCCGAATGTGTACACGTACAATAGCTTGTTAGGAGCACTAAAAGCCAGCGGGGAATGGACACGGATGGAGGGTGTAGTGGAGTGGATGTCAGCCAATGGCGTGGCGCCAGATGTCGTCACTTTGAATACTCTCCTGTCAGCTTTGGAAACTCAAGGCAAGGACGAAGCAGCGTGGAACCTTCTCACAAAATTCGGCATTCAGTACTCGTTTCACAAGCCACGGCGGACCGCTGATGCTCAAAGCAAGCCGTTAGAGAGCAAAGCTTCAGAGAACAAGAAGCACGATCCGAATCCGCAGAGCAATTTGCACGAGCCGACTCCCCATAGCACGCTACGCGATGCCGCAACGGTCCCGCAGCATCTAGTGGCCGCGTCCGCGCCCACCAGGGCCGCGGAGTCCGTGGAGGGATGGTGTGTGCGGCCGGACCTGTTCACTGTGCGCACCGTGCTGCCTGTGTGCCGCAGAGGACGGGTGGTGGAACGAGCGCTGGCATTGTACTCTCTGGCTCTGGAGTCAACGGGCCCTGCTAGTGGCAGCGGTAGCAGTAGCAGCGGCAGCAGCAGCAGGAGTGAGGGGAGCAGCAGAAATGTAGCCAGAGGAAGTGAGCGGAGTGGGAACTCCCGGCAGCAGCAGCAGCATCGGGAGGTGGCAGCTGCGTTGAGGTTTGCTTGTAACGAGGAGATGAAGCAAATAGTTGCTGCACTGGAGCGACAGGTGGACGGAAACCGTCAAGCAGACGGAAACTGGCAGGCAGACGTTCACGTGCAGGCAGGGAAGGCCGAACAGACAAGGACCGGTAGGGCAGCTGCAATGGCTGCCACTACAATGAAGGGGATAGCCGTAGGCGCAGTTGTAGAGGCAGCGTCAGGTGTGGGGGGGAGAGAGGGAGGAGCAGGGCGAAATGATGTAGCTGCTACTGGTGTAACAGCGACAACGGTCGGAGTAGCAGCGGTTGCCGGCAAAACAGCTGCAGCTGGGGCCTCCAGGCGCGATTCTGCTGTTGTGATAGATGAGGGAAAAGAACAGGAGGAACAGGAGGAGCGGGAGGAGCGGGAGGGGGAGGAAGCGGAGGAGGAGCAGGAGGAACAGGAGGAGGAGGAGCAGGAGCACGGACAAGGGCAAAGAGCAGGGAGTAAAGGGGCAGGGGATGGCACGATGAGGCACGACAAGGCAGGTACTTCTAGAGTGCTGTGGCTGCTGGATCAGATGGAAAGGGTGGGGATAGAGGCGGATGCGGACACGTACCGTTTGGCCCTGCACGCTTGCTGCCTCGACGACCTCGTGGGCCATGCTAAGCCCGTGGGCATGGGCAGTCCTAAGGGTGCAGGTATGGGTCACCGTAGGCATGGGCATGGGCACGGGCACGGGCATGGGCATGGGCACGGGCAAGGAACTTGCAGGCAGCGGGAAATCCGCACTCTCTTTGCTGCCATGCGCAGCCATGGGTTCGTCCCTGGTCTGAACACGTGTCACGAGGTGATTGGCGCCCTTGGCAGGGCGAAAAAGTGGTGGGCAGCACTGGAAGTTCTCGAGTCGATGAAAACTCAGGGGCCTGCGCCGACCGCTGCCACAGAAAGGCTCATCCGCGGGCACTTTAACATTTTGCTGACAGCTGCCCGGAAGCGCGGGCTATGGAGGTGGGCTCTTTCTCTTCTCGCCAAGATGGAGTCTGCAGGGCTCCCACCAGACGCCTTTGCATGGCGCACGGCGCTCGTAACCTGTGCAAAGGCTAACGAAACTGCTTCCGCTATCAAAGTTTTCGAGGATATGGTGGAGACGGGGGTCCGGGCGAATGCAGTGGCGTACGGCGCTTTGCTAAGTGCGCTGGAGAAAGGGGATTTGTTGGAACCAGCGGAGGCGGTGTGGGGGCATATGAGGAAGATGGGTGTTGAGCCGAACAGGCAGGCATACACTACTATGATTGTTGCGCTGGGGAAGAGAGGGGAGTACGGGCGAGCTGCAGCCCTGTTTGAGGAGCTTCAAGGGACGGCTAGCAGTGGCAGCAGCAGCAGCATCAGTGGTGGGAGCAGCAGTAGCGAGGCTGCTCTGTCCCAGCAGGGGGAAGCAGGGGAGGAGCTGGTTGCTGTTCGGGTGCACAGCAGGCAGGATGGAACACCAGCACCAGTCGCTGCTCACAGAGAACGCCACCTGGGTGCTGACGTGGCGGCATTCAATGCGATGGTGACGGCTTGTGCACATGCTGGAGAAGGGCTGAGGGCGCTGGACTGGCTGCAGAAGGTTAGTAGTGAATTTTGTTCTTGTTTTCCCCTTCAGTCTACCGTACTCCAAATTATCCAAATGCTGGAGAAGGGCCCGCTGAACTGGCTTATGAGAATTCTCAAAAGTAAAATCCACATAGATGAACTGGCTGCAAAAGGCAAGTGAAAATGTTGTTCCTGGTTTTCTTCATCACTGAATGTTTCTCCCCATCCTCATCACTTCCCCAAGTGCCATTTCATCCCCGCACTTCATTATTGCACGGCCCTTGTGTCACATAAGGAGGTGACCCATGTGTGCCCTCACTTCATGGAAGATGTTACTCACTTCATGGAAGATGTTTCAGTGATGTCGCTCCCTCCCAACCCAATTGCCAATTCACTGCCCACTGCCCCCTTTCAACCAGCATCCAACAGTGCATGCGCTGACCATGTCCGGTTTGAATCATATTCCATGCTTTTTTTTCTTCTTCCTCAAATTTCCTTTTACAGATGGAGGTATCATCTGCCACTCCACCAAACGCCACCACCTACCAGCAAGCTGCTATCGCCCTGGCTGATGCCAGTCACTGGGAGGCCGCCCTGCCCCTTATTCCACGAGCACGCTCTCGGGGAATTGAGCCCACACCTTTGATGTTTGAGGTGGTGCAGCGAGCTTGTGCCGCCAATGGGGTGGTTTTCGCATCACAGTTGGCAGTTGTTTCAAACCCTCGCGCAGATTTGGTTGGCGGTGCGAAGAGTTGATGCTAGCAAGGAACCCGTGGATGCTGCTTTGCAGTTGAGAACATGAAGTCAAGCTTTATTAGAGATATTGCAAATACACTCTGCTTGACCTTTCTCTCCCAATATCAATGTGTTCTCAACGATTTATTATAGCGAGAATTCGCCTTTCGCCAAACAGAAGAAGTGACTGAAAGGTTCATTCGACTGGTGGAATTGCACGATCGCGTACAGGCCCGCCTGCCACCGCTCGCTTTGGACAGGTGCACACCAGCTATTGCTGAGCTGGACAGTCCCTAGGCCAATCGCCTTGCCGCACAAAGGAACGTCGCTCAAAACCTCGATATTTGTTGTCGAGTTTCGGGTTTGACACAACAAGCGGTGACAAGCAGTCGCCGTAGGTGTCGGTCGGTAGCTGATCCAGTTACCTCTGTCGCTTTCCCGTAGAGCGGTGCCTAACCGACCGTCTGCGACTACATACGATGGAGTGCCTTGCGAAAGCGACACTTCTCGTGTTCATCCAGTTCGGGTTTTCCGTTGGCCAATCAAAACACAGTAGTTGCTCTCTCTCGAAGTTTTCGTCCGCCGATGTGACAGTCCGCCACACTCCGCCGTTCCGCCATTCTGCCAAGGCTTCCCTTCTTCGCATGCTCCGCCCCGCGCATCCCAGATTCGTTCCGCGTCCACCCAACAAGAACCAGACAACCCCTAGGCCGCGATGGTTTTGGTTGGTTGGTTGGCCATGCCATGGCCAAGTCTCTCCGTCTGTTCGTCGTTTCGATGAGATGGGATGGGAGATGGATCATGGATGGTGTGCGGGGGGCGGGGAGGAGTGGGGGGGTGGTCTGGATGGTTGTGTTGGTGTGCGTTCTCCGACCATCCCTCAGGGTTCCGTGAAGAATAGTCTGAAAATACGTCAGTCACGACTCACCTCACTGGACCACCTCAGAAGATTTGAGAGAAGAGAGCAGAGTAGACAGAATGGAACCCTGCACGATGCTTCTTTGTGGTTAGGAGGTTCTTCCACTGCCATTCACCCTGCACCGCTTTTCCCTGGCCTTGCCTACACGGCTACGGACTCGACGTTCTGAAAAGAAAGTGTATCTAACGAGCAAAATGGTTCTCCTAACCTAGCCTTTCAGTTCTTAGTAGTTACTGCCAGCTTCGACTGTAGTTGACGGACTGAATCAGACAGGCAGTATCAGTCAAGGTCCTGACGGACTCGAGCCCTATGGCGATTGCGGTTTCTCAAATCAGAAAGGTCGCCGCGGCAGTAGCGGATGAGCAATGGGGCGACGACCCTCCGCCGCTGAATTCCTACTTACCTCCTTACGCCCCGCCTCCCACCCCCGCCCTAACGTCCAAATCGGTATTTTCTCCCAGCATACCGCAACGAAGCTTCCCTCCTCCGCTAATGTCAGAACTCGCGTTCTCTCCTCGCTCCCGCAACTCCGACGTTTTCCCTCCGGCGTTCCTCGAAAGGCAGTCAACCACGACGAGCTCCGTCAAGACCGCTCAGAACTCCGAAGAACCGCAATCGGAACTGCCGCTTCTCCTTTTGCGGCCAGACCCTAACGACGCTGAGCAGATGAACGAGGACCGGCAACTGTGCGACACGGTGCGAGCAATGCAGCTCCAGCGATTCCTCGACGACTGCCTTGCGAGCGCCGTCGCGTCGCAGACGCCAATCGTCGGTAGCACTTCACACCCCGCTCCGCTTCTCCCGGGTCTCCCTCCCGTCGCATTCAGCACGTCCAGCTGTAACAGCGAGCCGTCGGATGGCAGCCGCGTTTCGCTTCATTCGCCGTCGCTGTCGCACGCGCCGTCGCAGGCGCCGTCGCAAGCGTCGTCCAGGGAGAAACAGAAGCAGGGTGGCGATTCCCGGCCGGTGTCGCCACGTCATGCGCACGGCGAGTCGCTCATGGATCAGGTCGACGAAGATTGGATTCGCGCGCAGGCCGCGAAACAAGCCCGCGCGTCTTCCGCCGCAGCAGACGACGGCGGAAACTATGCTTTTAGTGGGGGGAATGGCGCTAGTGGGGAAACCGAAGCGAATGAAACGACCAGGGAGAAAGAGGAGGGCGTAGCAGGTCAATCCACGTGTCATAGAAAGGAAGTCTCTGGGAATCCTGGGCACGAGAGGCCCAGCCATGGCAGTCGCGCGAGCAGCATAAGTAGCGGAGGAGTCGGAGCACTAGATTGGGTAGCAGGCAGCAGTATGAACGCGTCTAGTAACAAGTCTTCCCCCGGACTTCCCGGGGATGACTCTCAGCATCCCGCCATTCCCCCCTCCGCCCCCGCCTCCGCCCTCTATCGCGAAAAGCCCTCCGCTCCCCCCGCGTTCGCCTTTCCCCAGGCGCAGCCTTCCCCGGGAAACGCCGCTGGTGAATTAAAACCGCTCCGCCCACCCCCCGGCGCGTACAGGCGGTCAGTTTCGATGGCTGACGTGGACAAGGGGAAAAGTTACGTGTTAAGCGCTAGGGTAACTGAGCGACAAAGCTCGCTGAAAATGTCGTCGTCGTCGGTTGAAGTTCCAACCCTGAGGCGTTTGGCAGACGTCGCAGGCGACACAGGCAACGTCGCGAGGCCCGAAGACGTGATCTGGAAGAATCTTATCGCGTCCGCTCAGGTACACAACCGCGAGATTTCCGGGCTCCGCGAGGTGTCTTGTAACGCGAACGAGCGAGTTAGAAGCGGCAACAGTGCGTGTGACAGTAGCGAAGGTCTAGGCTCGTTGAGCGCGAAACGGAAACCGGTACCGGTGCTCGAAGGTTTAAAGGAGGTGGAGGAAGAGGGAAATGCTCCCCAGGTAACCCCTCGAGAGGAAGCTTCGCGCGAAATAACACCCCGACCTTCCACTGCTCAAGAAGTTTCCCGCGAGATAACGCCTCGTCCCTCCACTGCTGCTACTGACGTTGCCTCTACCCCAACCACTGACGTTCCTTGGACTCCGACTTTTGAGCGAGACGGGGCCATGCCGCCTCCCACGCCGCAATCGGCGGCGGAGGCAGCGGCGCAGAGGGCCGCGCGGAAGGCGGCGCAGGGGTCCTGCATTCCGCCGAGGGCGCAGTCCCCGCGGAGGCGCAACAGCGGGCTGTTCCGCAAGCAGGGCTCCGGAAGGCTTGATGGGTCGCAGAGACAGGGGTCGGGGAGGCTGGATGGGCCGCAGAGGCAGGGATCGGGGAGGGGGCTGGCGGGACTGGCTTCCGCCGCAGCGGGCGCAGCAGCGGGGGCAGGCGCGGGGGCGGGTAGGAGGAGCATCTCGCGCATGTCTTCCGTTAAGAAATGGCGGGTGCTAAACGCGCTAGTAAAGCAGATGAACGTAGAGGATGCGGAGAACGAGACTGCTGACGACGGGAACGGCGGCGGCGCCGGCGATAGCGGGGGCGGGGGCGGTTTCACGGCGACTGAAACGCATTCCGGGGCGATTAAGTCTGAGTCGGATAAGAGCGGGTGGGGCGCGCCGAGCTTCTCAGGAATGAGCGTTGGGGGGGATACGGAGGGCGGAGGGGGCGGGCAGACAGAGGAATTCAGCGCCCCCTGGAGTTTCGGCAGTATGGGGGATGTAGAGCGGTTCAATAACACCGCAGGGGGCGGGTTCGCGGATTATAGCGTGGCAGCTGCTAGCGTGTGCCAGGTTTCCCCGGCGATTTTCGAGGCGCACTTGCATTTGGCGGAGACCATGGCTAGGGAGGAGATGGAGAGGCAGCAGCAGCAGCAGCAGCAGCAGCAGGAGGGGCGGCATGGCAAGGGGCCAAGAACTCCGAGAACACCGAGAACTCCGAGGGTGGGTGGACGGGGTTTGGTGTGATGCAGTGCGGTTGGATGCAGTGGGTTTGTGGTGGAGGAGGTTTGGTGCAGTGCATTCACTGTTCCCTTTGCCCGTCCGTTTTCTTTTCCTAGCTCCTGCTCTCCTTCCGTGCTTCCCTATCCCCAACCTGCATACCTCATCGTCACTCCTTCAAACTCCTCCCAACCCCCCACATCCTCTCCCTTACACTCTCTTCCTGTTTCTTCCTCATTCTCCCCCTCTCGTCCTCGCTCCCTCAGGGTATGGGCTTCCGCAGCAACTCGCGCAGCAGCTCCCGCCGCCAGCAAAAGAGCAGTAAGTGCTGAGTGTGCATGGCTTGCAGAGAGTATGAGTGAGAGGGTGCATTGCTTCAAGAGAGTAGGAGTGTGAGGGCATGGCGTGCAAAGAGTAGGAGTGTGAGAGCAGCAGCGAATTGCAAACATGCCGGTTTCTCTTCACCTGATTAGAACCTTCTGGAGCCTCTCTTATGACCCTCCATGCACCCCATGACTTCGACCCTCTTTTAACCCACCTTTGACCTCCTTTGACCCACCTGTGACCAACCTTTGACCCTCCTTGATCCTCCGTTGACCTTCCTTGGCCCTACATTTGACCCTCATTTGCCCTCACCATGCATGCGCACCATGGCTTTGACCTTCCTTTGACCCTCCTTTGACCCTCCTTGACGCCTTTGACCCATTTAACCTCCTCCGACCCTCCTTTGACCCTCACTTGTCCCTCACCATCCAAGCATCCACCCAACTACTCCGCCCCTCCTCTGGCAATGTGCTGTGCACTCAACTCTTTCACTCTACGCTCTCCAACCTCTCCCTTTTTTCCTCCAAATGCTCCCATCATCTTCACACCCATCTCCATTACTGCTCCCACTACCCCCAGCCTGGGTCCTGGGAACCCCACCACGTGTCAGTGCGAGCAGCTAAGGTCAATCGCACCATAAGCCACAAGGCTTTTACCTCACCCTTGTGTTATTCCCGCCTTACCTTCATACACGATCTCCCTTCGATCCCTGTCCCATCTCTCCAAACCCTACCCCCCAGCCTGGGACCCCCACCATGTGTCAGTGCGGGCAGCCAAGGTCAATCGCATAGCCTGCACTCTACCCTTGTGTCATTTCCGCTTTTGATATCCCCCTTCGTTCCAACCCCCTCCCCATCGCTCCAACCTCCTCCCCCTCCCCTTGTCCCTCCCCCCTTCTGCCTGGGACCCCCACCGCATGTCAGTGTGAGGCGCCAAGGCAAGTGAGCCATCGGCCATGTGCCATGCAACCCACCCTTGTGTTATTCCCTCATCTGCCTTCCAATACCCCCCTCCATCTTTCCTCCCATCCCTGCCACTACCCCACCAGCCTGGGACCCCCACCACGTGTCAGTGCGGGCGGCCAAGGTCAAGAGAGCCATCGGCCACGTGTTCTGTTACCTCCCTCCCCCCCCCTCCTTACCCTCCATTTTCTCCTTTTGTTCCCCCTCCCTATCCCTCCAAACCCCTTCCAGCCTGGGACCCCCACCACGTGTCAGTGCGGGCGGCCAAGGTCAAGCGAGCCATCGGCCACATAGTCACCAACCTATCCTGGGTCATTTCCCCCAGTATCTTCCAGTATCTCATTCGTTTTCCTTCCCTCCCTCCCTCCCTCCCTCATTCTCATTCCCCCCCTCCCTCATTCTCATTCCCCCCCTCACTCATTCTCATTCCCCCCCTCCCTCATTCTCATTCCCCCCCCTCATTCTCATTCCCCCCCTCCCTCTTCCAGCCTGGGACCCCCACCACGTGTCAGTGCGGGCGGCCAAGGTCAAGAGAGCCATCGGCCATGTATTTCGAAAAATCACCGCCAAGCCACTGGGTTTCCTGCGCAAACTGAATCCCGGTGAGCAATTTATCCCCTCACCTCGAAACACCGCAGTTGTTTGTTCCGAGTTTCACCTCCATCCGTGACGCCGGGCCTTTCGCGCAAACTCAATTCCGGTAAGCCTTTTCGGACCACAGTTCAAAACACCTCATATGTGTGCCCAAAATTTCACCGCAAGCTGCTGAGCTTTCTGCGCAAACTCGGCCTCGGAAATCCTTTTCTCCCCATCTTTCCCCTTCGTTTTTGTGGCCATTGTTAGTTTGCATGCTAATGCTGTTCTTCTGTTATGTTCTGCCTCTGGCCTTACTCTCCATGAGCTGATCCCATATGACGCATCGTGTGTACTTGTCCCTCCCGTTGTCGATACTGCTTTATCTTTCGCTCTCGTTTCCTCCCTCATCCCCTCCCTCTCACTTTCCTCCTTATCACATGTCCTGACTTATATATATCCTCTTCCCCTGCGGCCTCCCCTGTGTTGACCAGCGTGCCGGGCTACGTGAATGTGCATTTATGCCTTTCTCAATCAACGCGGTTACAAGTATATTGCCTTGCTTACCTCCATACATAGACATCAAGGCATGGTTTGAAGGTGCCAGCCGTGAGTTCATTTCGTGTCAACTTGCGGACAAAGGACTTTGATTTTGGCGGCATTAGGCAGGCAGAGTCGTTCAGAACTCGTTTGACCGCGATGGCACTCTATAGGGTTGCAATACTTGTAGAGTTGAACTGATACTGGTACCACGGAAAATTCGAAGCAGCCGTGTCGTCAGATACTAGCATTTGATACTGTGTCTGCCTTTTCTGGCCTCTGATTTTGCATGATGGAAAGTACACGGTATCTTAGCCGTTCTTCATGGATTTGCCAAGGATTACGTATTGTTCTTTGTTGTGGCTGTTTGTCTATTGTACATTTGACTTACAAAAAGTTGTTTAGAAGGTGGTAGGTACCTGTTACGGAACGCTACTGGTAACAACCAGGCAACTTACACGCTGGAAAGAGATGAACTGGCACTTGTAGTGCTGTTTTCAGAATACTAGATTAGACTCTGCATCTACTATGTCCTCTACACTATCATATCATACAAAGTACCATAGCTTACATCGCACAACTGTCCCATGCATTACATCGCGGGCTGTGCGGCTTCTGTAAGACTGCTTGTAGAAAACTTGCAGCTTATTCAGGCTTTCTTTGTCTTCCCTGTTCGCGACAGTACTTCAAGTTCATGAGTTATGTGGCAGCAGATATGGGTACTGGTGAAATTATGTACACTGGCGGGCGGGGTAAGGTGATGCGCGCACGGGGCGTGTCTGGTCGCTTTCGATAATCTCCCTGGGTACGGAATTATTCTGGGGGTTCCCTGGTAGTTTCCACGGGGGAATTTCTTTGGGGAGCAAGTGTGGTGAAGCAGGCAATCTGATTCCCTGTGGGTCACCGATGCGGGCGGCGGGAGAAGAGCAGGGCGACGCAGCAGCAGAGGAGGAGCGACCCCAGGAGAGCCTGCAGGGGAGGCAGGGGGAGAGGAGGTATTGATTGGGGGAAAATGATACGAGTGGAGAGTGTATGAGGGAGCGAGAGAATGACAGGTGTAAGGAAGGGAAACAGAAAATCCTATTGGGATGATGGGAGAGGAACGGGGGTGATGCAGCAGCAGAGGGGAATGACATCAGGAGAGCCTGCTGGATGGGGGGAAGGGGGAAGGTGGAAAAAAGTGGAGAGAGTGGGCGACGGAGAGCGGGACAGCGAGAGTCATGGGGGGGCGTAGTTGGGACTCACTGCATGCAGACTCACGGTGTTGCGGAATTGCATTCGCTCCAGCGACGTCAGTCGAGCGTCCATCAGCTGCAGCCGAGCCGCCAGGCTGGCGGTTGACGGCGACGCTGACGTGGCAGCTGGCTGTTGCAATGCTGACGTGGCAGAAGCAGCTGACGGTGGTGGCGGTGCAGGAGGCTGAGTTGGCAGAGATACTTCAGGAATGATGCTGGCACTGTTAGCACCACCATCTGTAGCACCAGCACCTGCTGTAGCTGCTCCTGCAGCGGCAGCAGCTGTAGCGGCGGCAGCAACAACAGTGTGCATAGCTGGCAGTACGCCGTAAGAGGGTGTACTGGTGCCGGCTGTAGCAGCAGATGTAGCAGAAGGGTACGATGGTGGCATGGACGCTGCGAGTGCTCTGTTGTGCTCTCTGCTGCTGCTGCTGCTGGTGCCAGCGACAGTCGTGGTAGGTAGTAACGATGGAGCAGCCTTTGGGGGAACGGGGGAAAGGAGCGAAGGTGTCTTTGAGAGAGGAACGAAAGGAATCCATACGAGTTGTTTTTTGTGAGGCTCCTTGTGCGAGGGAATCTGATGAAAACGATAAGCGTTTGCTGTCCGGCTGAGTGGGTCTCAATGCTTGACCGATAACCACCAATCTATGATCAGACAGGTGGTCAGTGTGGTGTCGCGCAAGACACTGACCACCAAACGCTTGGACGTTTGGACGCTTGGATGATGCGGGTATAGAGACGACTTTGAGGGCGTCAAAAGTAGTCAGTGTGGTGGTGTGCTTGGTCAATTGGACGCCTGGATGATGCCACACTCATATAAACTGTTTAACACCGTGGAAGTGGTTCACCTTGGAAGATGATCTTTCATAAAGGGGAAGATGACGCTTGGATGATGCATGGTCATATTCCCCTTTATGGAAGTCATTAAGCAAGTGGCTCTCACCTGAGGGGACACGTTGAGTCGTTGCAGCAGGGCGTGCAGGCGGGCGGCTTGCTGGCTGCGATGGACGTTGACAGACTCTGAGAAGAACACTCGGTTGCTGTCGTGGATTATGCTGTAGAGGGACCGTGCGTCTCACCTGAGGGGATAGTCGTTGCAGCAGGGCGTGCAGGCGGGCGGCTTGCTGGCTGCGATGGACGTCCACCGACTCTGAGAAGAACACTCGGTTGCTGCTGGTAGCATCAACTGTGGCTCTGAGTGCCGCTCACCTGGGGGGATACGCGTTGCAGCAAGGCGTGCAGGTGAGCGGCCTGCTGGCTGCGATGGACGTTGACAGACTCTGAGAAGAACACTCGGTTGCTGTCGTGGATTATCTCCACGAATGGCTGCATGCCACGTGTCACAGGGTGGGGGACAATGCCATAATTGACAGGGAGGGAAGGGATCGGAATGGACAGATAACGGGAAGATTGTGATGGAAGGAGGGTAAGAGGGAAATACGACGTCTACAACATGATTAACAGGGTTGGGAGGGAAGGGACAGATGATGGGGACGTGCAATGGAAGGAGAGTAGCAGATTGTTTTTCTGGCATGAACATTGCCCTTTGAGACCTCTGATGAATAATCTTTTGAGAATTCTCAAAGGTGACACAGACATTGCCCTTGCCCTTGATCCGCACAGAGTCAGTGCTGCCGCACCGTACCAACATAGATCCCACTGGTGACGTACGTCCCTTCCAGCCTCATGGCTTGCCCTGCAGCAGCTACAGCATCCCAGCTTGATCCGCATAGAGCCAGTGCCACCATACCGCACTGACATAAATCTCACAGAACCGAGTTCTATACCTTGGTAACATACGTCCCTTCCAGCCTCATGGCTCGCCCTGCAGCAGCTACAGCGTCCCGGCTGCTGCCCTTGATTTGCACAAAGCGCCGCCCATTCAGACCCTTGATTCCCACCACCTCCACTGAGATCTGGTGGGCAATACGGACGGGATGGGATGGAATGAGCACTGTGATCCGATGAAGCAATAAGCCCCACCCTTCTCATATGATCGCCCCATCCCCCCTTGATCTGCACAAAGTGGCGCCCGTTCAAGCCCTTGATTCCCACCACCTCCACTGAAATCTGGTGGGCAAGACGGACGGGATGGGATGGCTTTTGAGGCGCCTCAAAAGTCGTCTCTCTACCCGCAATTTTTTAGGCGCCTCAAAACCCATTCAGGCCCTTGATTCCCACCACCTCCACTGAGATCTGGTGGGCAAGACGGACGGGATGGGATGGGATTGAATGGGCACTTGTCATGAGCATGGGGATTGATGAAGCACTACGCCCCACCCTTGATCTGCACAAAGCGTCTCCCGTTCAGACCCTTGATTCCCACCACCTCCAATGAGACCTGACAACATATAAAACAGGTACAAGGAGATTGAAACACAGAGAGACACAGAAACACAAAAACGGAGATAAGCAGTGGAAAAAGCACCACGCCTACCAAACCCCAGCCAAGTGAAAGCTAGTTGGATATGCTACTTCGATGCTGATTGGTTTTGTTCATGCTGCATTTCAGCAAAATGTTCACTTTGATACGGTTTGTTTGTTTGTTTTTTTTTTTTTCGAGGGCGGTTGAAGGTTTCGATGTTCTGATCTGACCTGGTCGTCTTGGAACACCGTGGCTGAGACTTCCATGAACAGCCCTGCCTGGTACCTGCACCCAGCACAAACAGATAAGAGTAAAATGAGTCAGCTTCAAATGGAGATGGAGAAACTTTGGGAGTCAGCTTCAAACACCACCATCGCTGCTGGTAACCTGGTTACCATAAACCTATCACTCACCCAAGCCTCCACAAGCCCTGCCACTGTGGACAGCCGGATAGCAAACTCCACGTGGGGTCAGATTGCCCACATGCTAGATGGGCCACCACCACAGCTGGTTACCTGGTTACCACTGCAGCACTCACCCCAGCCTGACAAGCCCTGCCACTGTGGAGAGTCCGATGTCAAACTCCACTTGCGGCTGAATCACAAAGTCACCCTCTGTTAACGGCTGGAGGGTGTAGGGTGTAAAGCCACAGGCGATTGGGAGAAAGACAACTGGACATCAGGGTTGAGGGGTGTAGCGTTGGGACACAAGCGGAGATAGAGAAGGGGGACTGGGAAAGAGAACGGAAGGACCTGATAACAATCTTCCGTACAAGCACAACACTCAGTGCCACCTCACGAATCAGCACGGCAAATCGGGTTGTTGCAGCAGCGCACGCTAATCCAATCAGTCGATTTTTTAGTCGACTCAAAAATAACCTCACCTCACGAATCAGCACGGCGAATCGGTTGTTGCAGCAGCGCACGCGGATCCAATCGGACTCCCTCACAGGCCCCTCTGGGTGCAGCCCAGGCAAGTAAAAGAAGACGTCCGTGTAGCACAGCTGTCGCCGGTGGTGGGTGGAGGGGTCAACCACCCGTAAAATGTCCTCCTCCGTAACCTGGTGGTGGGGTGGTAAGTGTGCACAGAAAGTCAAAGAGATTCCTATTTGAATACAATCCCTCAAAGGCCCCTGGGGGTGCAGCCCGGGCAGGTAAACGAAGACGTCCGTGTAGCACAGCTGGCGCCGGTGGTGGGTGGAAGGGTCGACCACTCGCAAGATATCCTCCTCCGTAACCTGGGGAGGTGGCGCAAAGAAAGATGAGGACAGGATACTAGCAAGACTCCCTCACAAGCCCTTCTGGGTGCATCCTTAATAGGTATGCTTTTGAGTCGACTCAAAAATAGCCCCTCTGCGTCTAGGTGCATCAGTAAATAGGGGAAAACGTCCGTGAAGCACATCTGGCACCGGTCGTGCTGGTTGGTGGTCGTCCCACACTAACGGAATAATAGTTGAGCCCATTTGCCTTTTGATAGGCACGCATAATGCTCGACATTTGCACTGACTTTCATGCATTACTTGTACAGTCATGCCCTCTATAGCCACTTTGGTAGCACTCCCTTCTGCTGCCCACAGTGATACCTTCTTGTCTCCCAAAATTAGGAAAATTAAGAATAATTCCTTGCCCTGTATAATTCAAGTGTTGCCCTGTATGGTAGGAGTGACATTCTGTTGCCCATGGATGGTTGTAGTGACCTTTTGTTACTCTTCAAGACAAACAGCGAAGCGACACGTCTTTTAATAAATCTCATAACTCGTCTACTCATGCGTACCTAAATGTTCATACTACCCTGTTACCCATGGATGGTACAGTGTTACCTTCTTGTCGCTCTTGAGGACAAACTGTGAGGCGTCGCGGGCGTGGAAGGGGTCAAATTTGTTGACCACTCGCAGCTGTGCACATGAGCACACAAAGAGCAGAGAGATGGGCAAGAAACAGGCAGGGATAGACGTGCATAAGAATGTGTATATTGAGAGTCAACTCAAACATGAATGGGAGGCGTCGCGGGCGTGGAAGGGGTCAAACTTGTTCACCACTCGCAGCTGTCCACATGGGCACAGAAAGAGAAGATGGCCAAAAAACACACACGCACACACACACAGATGAAGGGGCCCATCTCTATTTCCACCGACCGTGACTCGGACTCACAGGACGTGGTGGAGGTGGTGGAGGGGTGCAACGCATGCAGCGCATGCACCTGCAGCCCAGCGAGCAGGTGTGGCTTCACACTGACAGCCCCAGTGATGCCACGTCCTTTCAAACGGCCTCCAGTAGCCACAGCGTGGATCCTTCGCCCACTTCCCTGCTTGCTGTCATGGCGGCCGGCCGCGCTGTTGCCACGCTACTAAGGTAGCAGCGTGGCTGGCCGCCATGGTAGCATTCAGCAGGGAGAGCGAGGGATGCACGCTGTGGCTACTGGAGGCCGTTTGAAAGGACGTGACACCACTGAGGCTGTCGGTGTGAAGCCACACCTGCTCGCTGGGCTGCAAGTGCATGCGCTACACGCCTTGCCCCCCTCCACCACCTCCACCACGTCCTCTGAGTCCGAGTCACAGTCGGAGGAAATAGAGATGGGCCTCGTGCTGCTGCTACTGTTGCAAACGTTTAGGATGTGGCGCGTTGGAGGCTTGCAGATGAAGGGTCTTGGACTTGTTCGGGATGGCGGGCTCATGTACACACAGGTGAGCCTTCAAACTCACATGCGCCGTGGAGAGGAAGGGCTGAATCTGTGTGCGGAAGAGCGGGAAGAGTGTTGCCTCCACTTCCTCTGCTGGTCGTGGCAAGCTGCATGCTTGCAGGTCGGAGAGAACGCGTGACGGCAGGTGCGAGTGCACTCCCCCGTCCTGGCATGTGTGACATCCATAAAGGTGAGCACAGCAGCATTAGCAGAAAATCAATGGCTACATCAACAGCACGCTGCATGCTTGAAGGTCGGAGAGAACTCGTGCTGGCAGGTGCGAGTGCACTCCCCCGTCCTGTTAGGCAATGATGCGAGTGCAGAAGCAGCAATAGCGGCACACTTCAGCGTTGCAGGTTGTACAGAACTTGTGAGAAGAGGTGGGTGCGGGTTCCTTTGTCCTTTTGGGGCAACAGCAATAGAGGAGAGGAACAAAGTATGTAGGTACGGGATGAGGCACAGAATTATGGGAGGGCATGGCATGGCAGGGCAGGGCATGGCAGGGCAGGGCAGGGCAGGGCAGGGCATGGCAGGGCAGGGCAGGGCAGGGCATGGCATGCCTTCATCCTCCACTCACCACAGCAATGCGCAGGTCGAGCCGATGCTGCAGGAGTGGATGCAGTGTGTGCGTTCCCTCCACCACTAGCTGATGGCAGCACAGCGCAACACGGCGTAGCATAGTGTGGAGTTGCAGGGCATGGGATGTGATGGAGTGAAGGGAAGGAAGGGAGGGCCGGCAGGATCCGGTGAGAGGAAATTTAGATGGGGTTTGCTGCAGCTATAGCCGGCGCGCGTGTGTGAATACGGGTCCCAACTGCTGACAGAGAAAGATAATAGAATTAGCCCTCAGTCTTAACTTTTGTACTTGCACTTTTATATCCTATCTTAGTGTAGTACTTTGTGTTGGTTGCGTGTACACCCACATCCCAACCAAACCCAAATGTGATCACCTGAAATCTCAACCCACCAATTGGAGATTCCAGCTGACCCCCCTTGGATTGCCCCCAATTCCCTCCCCATCATTCCTTGCGCATTTCGGATGTTCTTGAAGAGCCTTGAGCTCATTACTAATGCATCAGTTCACGCTCAAGTTCTTACAAAAGATAGGCGGCAACAGGGTCGTGGAATTCATGGTTTGGCGGAAAGATATACTCTGAGAAATCTCAACACACGGCCAACAAGTAGCACAGTCCAAGGTACTATTTTTGAGGCGCCTAAAAAAGGCGCCTCATAAATCATGTAGGACGGCCCAAGGTACTCACCACTCCGCTGCTGGCGCCGCTGCCGCCGTCCCTTGCTCCTGCTGCCGCATCCCACGATGCCTCTACTCCTGCTGCCGCTGCTGCTGCAGATGATTCAGCTGCTGCTGAAACATCAACTCCACGCCCAAGCACTTGCCCATCCCCATGCATGTGCACAGGGCGGTACCCCACCCTCCTCATAGTGCCAAAGTCAAACACTGGGGTGACCGCATTCCGCCCCTCCCGCACGTCCTGCAGCGTGCGGCGCAGCAGCGGCCAATCCACGACCGCCACGTCATCGTAGTTGGTGCCGTCAGCTGTATCGTTGAAGAATGAGTCGAGGGAGAGGAGGTCGCAGGAGAGCAGGCGGGCGAGGTTGCATGCCAGGCTCGTCTTGCCTGAACCGCTGGGTCCCCCTGGTGGGAGGGAAGGGATGGTGGAAAAAAGAAGGGAGAAGGGCAAAGAGCAGACTCGAGGGAGAAGAGACCGCAGGAGAGCAGGCGGGCGAGGTTGCATGCCAGGCTCGTCTTGCCTGAGCCGCTGGGTCCGCCTGGTGGGAGAGAAGGGATGGTGGAGGAAAAGAAGGGAGAAGGGCAAAGAGGTGATGACGGGAAAGGAACGAGTCGAGGGAGAGGAGGTCGCAGGAGAGCAGGCGTGCAAGATTGCAGGCTAGGCTTGTCTTGCCTGAGCCGCTGGGTCCGCCTGGTGGGAGGGACGAGACGGAAGGGGACATATGGGAAGGGAAAGAGCAGACTCGAGGGAGAGGAGGTCGCAGGAGAGCAGGCGGGCAAGATTGCAGGCTAGGCTGGTCTTGCCTGACCCGCTGGGTCTTATTTTGAGGCGCCTCAAAATACACCTCAATGCACGCGGATTTCATACGGAGAGGATTATTACAGCTTGGAAATGTTCGTGTAACTTGCAAAAGTTACTGGTGCGCGCGCGGTTACATCAACGAATTGGTTGACGAAGATCTTCTCGAGGGCTGACTTTGCACCCTGGGTGTACCCCATTTGCTTAGCTGGCCGAGTGACTTGTCACTCTGGGTAGTTGGTTGTACATTTGTAGATCTCGAGGGCAGTTGCTAGCTACTTAGCCTACTTCTGTCCGAACTCTTTCTTTTGTGGATCTGGTAGCTTACTGATGAAGGCTTAGCGGGTTGGAGACCCGTGAGCCGAAACTAGTTTGAGCTGTAAAGATCCTCGTTAGTAAAGGGTTTCTAAGGTTTCTACTGATCGTTTTTCCAGGAAAGAATTTCTGTTTCGTTTCCTTTTGTTGCTTTAAGCGTCTCTCTTTAGAATTGCTGCTCTTCCACTATGAGCGAAGACCCTTGGGACATTGAATGGTTTCCAACTGAAGAGGAAGACGCCGATTCTGAAGAACGCAACTCGTTGAAAAGGCAGCGTAGGAGTGGAAACAAGTCGCGTTCTGCTCGAAAGGCTTCCGGGCAGCGGCAGACCGGCAACAAATTTCCGCAACTGGCGTTAACCTACGAACCGATTCTACGAAGTGAGCAACCACGTGATCCTCCCGCTGGACCGTCGCGAATTCGTCCTACCGTCATGGCGGAACCCACTGACGCGACCCCCATCCAAGAACCTTTCAAGGGATGGCTTGCGACTGCAGTGAAGGATTTCCGGGACGATTTCAGGACTCTGCTTAAGGCGAAATCTAAGCTGAAGAAGATGAAGGAACTCGACGCTGAAGGAACGATTCTGCACAGCATCCGTACCAAAGCGGTCGATTTCCAGACGAAGATTGACTCTGTCAAGGAGAAATCCAAGGCGTCCGTTGCTGAGATCCATTTGGCGAATCAGAAGCGGATTCAGGCAGAGTTTATCGCCTCGAAAGCACTGGAGGTTGAGGAGATCGCGAAGATGGCTAACTCGCGTGTCACGACTCTGGCTACAAGGATGGAGGATTACATACAGGGGCTGAACGCGGATCCTGATTTGGTGGTGTCTGACGCTGCCAAGGAGAAATTTCGTTTACTCAAGGGACGCTGCATCGAGAAAGCCCAATCCGACATCGCTGCTGCCAAGGATGATCTTACCATCCGGGAGTTGGAAAGACAGCGTAAGATAGCTGCTGAGGATTTGAAGAAAGCTGCTGCGTCTGAGGAGGTGCAGGAGATGGAGTTAGAACCTGCGTTAGAGGAGATTCTCGCGAAGCAGGTTAAGAAGATTGAAGACAAACTTCGCAAGGAAATCACTGCGAAGGTTGAGGCCAGTCTTACGAAGAAGCTGCAGAAGAATCTCTCTCTTAAGGAGCAAGACCCTGCGCAGGCCGCTGCTGCTAATCCGAAGCAGAGGAGTACGGCGGGAAAGCAGAAAAGTCAGGAGAATGGCAACGCTGCACCTGCTGGATCCAAGCCGAGGAGGAAGCGTGGTGGGAAGAAAAAGAATCAGAAGCAGAATTCCAGCACCGACAAAGGCAAGCAGGCGGGAGGCCAAGTCAAATCTGATACGGCCAAGGGACCAAAAAACGGCGGAGGCGGCCCCGAAAAAGGGCCGCGCAAGAAGAACTAACCAGCCATGAGCTGGCCCTCCGTTGGTTTGGACGGCTGACGCCTCGACAAGCTGCGTTGCGCGTCCGTAACCGCGGAGTTCACAACCTCAGCGCCAAAATCTTATCTTCGGATGAGAAGACAGCGTTGGGGTTGGGATTGAAGTTCATCCCCACGCCCACCGTTTCCCTTTCGGCCGGAATTGAGCTTGATCAGCTTTTCCGGCAGATCTCGTTACATTTTTTCTTCAAGGATGCGGACGGTCCACCTAGGGATTCACGGTTTCGTGTGCGTAACCCGATGTGGCTGCCCGATCGGATGGTGATTCCGGAGCAGGTCTTCAAGGACTCGTCGTCTGACTTGTCCGTCTTGTTGAAGGCATCTCGGCCTGACCGACGTCGGAATCTTTCAGCTGGCGTTAGGAAGGCTTTGCGCACCATCGCTGCGGATCGAGACGTGGTGATTAAACCGGCTGACAAGAATGTTGGGATTACGGTGATGGACCGGGGACATTACATTCGGTTGTGCATGGAGCACCTAGGTGACAGCACGACTTACTCCCTGGTCTCTCACAATCCTACCGCTGAAGTCTACCGGAAGCTGCGTGAACTGCATAGCGTTTGGGGCCCTGCTTTTCCCGAAACTTTGTGGAAGTACTTTTTCAATCAGCCGCCTGGAGGATGGAAACCCGCGGCTTTCTACATTTTGCCGAAGCTGCATAAGAAGGATCTCGTGGGACGCCCGATCGCCGCCTCACACTCATGGGTGACTTCTAACGTTAGCCGTTGGCTCGATGCTGAATTACGACCGTGGGTTTTGCAGCAGCAGACATACCTCCGCGATTCCCTCTCGCTACTCTTGAAGCTGGAAGAGACCGCCTTCCCGAAAGGGATCTTCTTAGCCACCTACGACGTTACTGCTCTCTACCCCAGTATCCCATTAAGGAGAGGTATCGACGCAGTGAGTAGCATTCTTCAGAGTGGGAAATATCATAATCACCTCCCGGTCATTGCCCTGCTGGAGTGGGTGATGATGAACTCGATTGTTGAGTTCGACGGCCAATTGTACCTGCAGCGACAAGGGATTGCTATGGGAACTCCTGCAGCAGTATGTTTCGCGGTGCTGTTCATGAGCCGTTTGGACGAGGTGCTGAGACGCAGGTGGTCCGGGACGCAGCCGTTGTGCCACGTGAGATACATCGACGATGGCTTCATTGTTTGGCCAGGTTCTCGGAACGAGTTGGAGTGTTACCTCAGTACCTTCAACGAATTGGATCCCAACATCAAGTTGACGTGGCACATCTCGGACTCCTCGGCAGACTTTCTTGACATGGTCATCTTCAAAGGACCACGTTTTGCCGAGAAGGGTAACTTGGATCTGAAGACTTTTCAGAAACCCATGAACAGGAGAGCAGGCGGGCAAGATTGCAGGCTAGGCTGGTCTTGCCTGACCCGCTGGGTCTGCCTGGTGGAAGGGAAGGGAAGAGAGGAAAGTAAACGAAGGAAAAGAGTGGTTTCGAGGGAGAGGTCGCAGGAGAGCAGACGGGCGAGGTTTAATGTCAAGCTGGTCTTGCCCGAGCCACTGGGCCCTCTTTGGGTACAAGGAAGAGTCGGCAAAAGAGGGGGGAGAAGGGACGGGGAAATGAAGGAAGAAAAAGAATGGGTTCAAGGGAGGGGAGGTGGCGGGAGAGCAGGCGAGCGAGGTTGCAGGCCAGCCGGTCTTGACGATAAGGGAGGGAAGGGACGGGGAAGATGGAGGAAGGGAAACGAGTTGATAGAACCCCCGGAGGGCAGGCATTGAAGGTTGCTGAGTGGATTCGCACTACGACTGGAGCTTCAAGACGCGACATACCACCCAGGGAGAGAAGAGAGCGAGAGTCGAGAGCAAGAGCAGACAGCAGAGAGCAGAGTGCAGTAGGGGGGACTTACCAATTCCCACTATGACTGGAGGGCCGTTGCTGCGGAGCAGTTTCTGCATGAGAGCGAGAAAGGGCGACAGAGTTACATGAAGGAGAGGTGAGCTTGAAAAGGTGAGAGGCAAGTGAAGCCTGATCTCAACGAGAGGCAGAGCAGCTCAATCACTAACACTTCAAAACCTCTCAACCCTTCAAAAAGCACAAACACCAGGTGATTTGAGACGGCTTTGAAACTCGGCCTACTCGAGACTCGAGTCAGCTTTAGATCGAGTCGAGAGTCTCTAGTGAGTCCTCTTAGTCCTCACCTGCACGGCCATCACAGCCAGGCTGAGCCCTCTGTCGAAGTTGAACTGTTTGAGAATGAGGTCAAACCGAGGCCAAACCGAACCCTCTGTGATGCTGACGCCGATGCTGCTGCTGCTGCTGGTGCTGTCGATGCTGATGCTGCTGTTGACTACACCAAACATTTGGACAGCTCACCTGCACGGCCATCACAGCCAGGCTGAGCCCTCTGTCGAAGTTGAACTGCTCTCGCTTGGGAATGAGGTCGAACCGCGCCCTCTGTGATGCCGATGCCGAAGCTGCCGTTGCTGCTGGTGCTGCTGTTGCCAGACCTTGCCTTTCCATTCCAGATGCCACGCCACTCATTTCCTCTTCCACATCTCCCTTCCGCTCTGCCACGCCTCCCCTCTCTTGCACTCCTGGTCCCTCCCTTTCTCCAATTCTCCTCGCAGCCCCTTCCTCTGCCATTCCTCCTCCCTCCTGTGCTCTCTGCACCACCGTCTGCTGCTGCTCTGTGCCCTGTTGGTTACCGCCACGCTCTTGACTGCCCAGTCCTAGCTGGATTCTCTGCTGCTGGCTTGTCTGCTGCTGCTGCCTGTCGCTACCACCAGCAGCAGCAGGTAGAAGCTCCCTCGGCGCGAGAGGGGACGTTGCAAGCGTGGAGGTCGATTGATACACACCCTCGTCACCTGCTACCCCCATCCCCTCTTGCGCAGCAGTTGCGCTAGCAGCAGCGGCACTTGAAGGGGCTTCAGCTTCAGCTTCAGCTTCAGCTTCACCGCCAGCCATGGCTTGCTGGATGATCTGCGTGTGCATGAGACCTACCGAGTCCGCCAGCCCTGTGAGACCCCATGATGCCGGGGCAGCCATGGCTGCTGCTTCACTCGCCCGAGTGGGCGACCGGGTCCACGGCTCCTGCTCTTCCACCACCCCGTGCTCCTCCACCAATCCCCTCTGCACCCCTTCCCCTTCCAGACCTCTCTCCTCCACCCCTCCCTCCTCCCCACCACTGATACCGCTGCTACCAGCACCACCACCAACGGCAGGTCTACCTCCCCGGGATGAGCCTGGCGAGCCGACGTTGATGGCTCGTGGGCGCACAGGGAGAGGGGCAGAGGCAGCCGAGAGGGCTGCGGAGATGCGTGCAGGGAGAGGGGACTGGGAGGGAGGTGGTGAGACGGTGGAGGGGAAACGGGACTGGGGTGGAGGTGGTGATGCGGTGGAGGGGAGTTGGGATTGGTATGGAGGTGAAGGAATGTCAGAGTGGGATAGAGGAGGGGATTGAGAAGGAAAAGGAGGAGGGGTCGGTTGAGATTGGGTGGGTTCGGGTGTGGTGGAGAGGGGAGGTTGGGAGGAGGGGATGGAGAGGAAGGAGGAGGAGGAGGGAGAGGAGGTGAGGGACTCTAGCTGGTCGGACTCGAAGCGAACCCAGGAGGAGGAGAGGGGCGGGGTGGGCAGTCGAGGTGCGCCTGGGGAGACAAAGGGGAAGCATGTAACAGGGGGGAGGTGGGAGAGTATGGGGCGGAGGGGTTAGTAATGAGGAATGTCGTTGTCGGGAATGAACGATCAGCCAGGAGGAGGAGAGAGGAGGCGTGGGTAGATGGGTGGCGCCTCACATAGGGAAGCAGGAGGGGACGGGGACGAGAGCAGGGTTTCCCCGGGTGGAATTATGGGGTGGCGAAGTGTTTCATTCAAACACTAGTTCAGATTTCTATTAATGTTGTAAAGTTCACTAATGATCGTCTGCGAGCACGCAAAGCAACAATGGCACTGGCAAGTCAAGTCACGCATATAGAACATATGATCATCCAACCAACATGATGCAAGACCGTGCATGTCAAGTAGGATGTATGCTGAATCTGTTTTTTGAGAACTCTCAAAAGACGAATTCAACATCATGCAGGGCCATGCGTGTCATGTGGCAAGTCAATGCATACCAACATGGCGCATAACGATGTCAACATAAGCGTCCGTGACCCACGGTCCCTCCAATCGCAGTGCGGCTGCTGCTGTGAGCACCATCTGTTGTCGCATGGTGGTGGAATCAAGGCACACAGGCAGAATGTGTTTTGGCAAGTTGTAGGCCTGCTGCTTATATGAGCCCCGTCTGCTTTTGAGGCGCCTCAAAAGTTGGCAAGTTGTAGAACTGCTGCTTATATGAGCCCCGTCTGCTTTTGAGGCGCCTCAAAAGTTGGCAAGTTGTAGAACTGCTGCTTATATGAGCCCCGTCTGCTTTTGAGGCGCCTCAAAAGTTGGCAAGTTGTAGAACTGCTGCTTATATGAGCCCCGTCTGCTTTTGAGGCGCCTCAAAAGTTGGCAAGTTGTAGAACTGCTGCTTATATGAGCCCCGTCTGCTTTTGAGGCGCCTCAAAAGTTGGCAAGTTGTAGAACTGCTGCTTATATGAGCCCCGTCTGCTTTTGAGGCGCCTCAAAAGTTGGCAAGTTGTAGAACTGCTGCTTATATGAGCCCCGTCTGCTTTTGAGGCGCCTCAAAAGTTGGCAAGTTGTAGAACTGCTGCTTATATGAGCCCCGTCTGCTTTTGAGGCGCCTCAAAAGTTGGCAAGTTGTAGAACTGCTGCTTATATGAGCCCCGTCTGCTTTTGAGGCGCCTCAAAAGTTGGCAAGTTGTAGAACTGCTGCTTATATGAGCCCCGTCTGGGAAATGATGGAAGGATAAGAGGAACAGGCGACAACAGATATTAACATAAAAGCGTACAGAATAGGTAAGATAAGAGAGGTATGAGGCATGGGCAATGGTGGTAGGATGACGAACAGAGGGGACAACAAATCTGCCGGTCCGGTCCCTTGATCTGTGTGTATGTGCGGCTGTGCCCCTCGCCCAGGTGGATGGTGTCAATGCACACTGAGAGATCGCCGTTGGAGAGCACCAGAGAGTCACAGACTCAAGGGAGCACGGACTCACAGGGAGCACGGACTCACAGGGAGCACGGACTCACAGGGAGCACGGACTCACAGGGAGCACGGACTCACAGGGAGCACGGACTCACAGGGAGCACGGACTCACAGGGAGCACGGACTCACAGGGAGCACGGACTCACAGGGAGCACGGACTCACAGGGAGCACGCACGGACTCACAGGGAGCACGGACTCACAGGGAGCACGGACTCACAGGGAGCACGGACTCACAGGGAGCACGGACTCACAGGGAGCACGGACTCACAGGGAGCACGGACTCACAGGGAGCACGCACGGACTCACAGGGAGCACGCACGGACTCACAGGGAGCACGGACTCACAGGGAGCACGGACTCACAGGGAGCACGGACTCACAGGGAGCACGGACTCACAGGGAGCCTCAGGGGCTCACAGGGAGACACAGGTGCCTTCTCTCGACGCACCTGCCTGTCCGGTCCCTTGATCTGTGTGTACGTGCGGCTGTGCCCCTCGCCCAGGTGGATGGTGTCAATGCACACTGAGAGGTCGCCGTTAGAGAGCACCAGAGTCCCAAGGAGCCACAGGGAGACACAGGTGCCTTCTCTCAACGCACCTGCCTGTCCGGTCCCTTGATCTGTGTGTACGTGCGGCTGTGCCCCTCGCCCAGGTGGATGGTGTCAATGCACACTGAGAGGTCGCCGTTAGAGAGCACCAGAGTCCCAAGGAGCCACAGGGAGACACAGGTGCCTTATCTCAACGCACCTGCCTGTCCGGTCCCTTGATTTGAGAATATGTGCGGCTGTGCCCCTCGCCCAGGTGAATGGTGTCCATGCACACTGAGAGGTCGCCGTTAGAGAGCACCACCGAGTCCCAAGGGGTCAAATACACACTCACAGGGAGCGACAAGGAACTTTCCTCAACGCACCTGTCGGTCTGGTCCCTTGATCTGTGTGTACGTGCGGCTGTGCCCCTCGCCCAGGTGAATGGTGTCGATGCACACTGAGAGGTCGCCGTTAGATAGCACCACATGTTTGAGTCCCACGAGGTCATGGACTCACAGAGACACACATTAGGACCTTCCCACGACGCACCTGCCTGTCTGGTCCCTTGATTTGAGTGTACGTGCGGCTGTGCCCCTCGCCCAGGTGAATGGTATCAATGCACACTGAGAGGTCGCCGTTAGAGAGCACCACAGAGTCTCGAGAGAAGCTGACTGCCACTGCGTAGGAGCACTGAATGAGACCGGGGAGAGTGGTGGATGGTACCTGGTGGGGCATAGAGGAGTAAAACTATGGGATTTTGGGAGGGAAGGAGAGCAGCACATCACACCAGGGAGTCTCGAGAGAAGCTGACAGCCACCGCGTAGGAGCACTGGATGAGACCGGGGAGCGTGGTGGAGGGAACCTGGAGAATGAGAAGGGACAGAAACGGCAGAGAGGAGATATGGGGAATTGAAACGAAAGGAGAGCACCACAGAGTCTCGTAAGAAACGGACTGCCACGGCGTAGGAGCACTGGATGAGACCGGGGAGAGTGGTAGGCGGTACCTGGGGGGAAGAGAGGGAGAAATGCGGGCATGGAATGAAAACCACAGAGTCTCGAGAGAAGCTGACTGCCACGGCGTACGAGCACTGGATGAGACCAGGCAGGTTGGTGGACGGTACCTGGGGCGCTTTTGGAAGGAGGAAGAAAAGAGAGGCGGAAAGGAAAAGAGAGGCGGAAAGGCAAGAGAGGTGGAGGAGGGCTAGAGAGCACCGCAGAATCTCTTGAGAATCTCACAACCACCGTGTGGGACCACCTCAGCTGTGAGGAGCCCACCAAAGAAGCCTTACCCGCCTACTAAAGCGCACCTCAAACTCGGCCCGCGGGCGGATGATGAAGCTGCGGTCGACCACACGTTGGTCTCCCACGGAGAGGAAATAGCGGATGCCGCACTGCCGCACTCGAATCCACTCCTTGGTGCGCGTGGGGTTGTGAGGCGGAGACAAATACACATCCACATAGCTGGAGGAAATGGGGAGAGAGAACGGTTGGAGGATGGTGGGTTGAAGCATGAGGATGTGGCAGGAAGAATCAGATGCCGCACTGCCTGCCGACTTTTGACACCTCTCAAAACAAGAAGCAGATGCTGCACTGCGTGGCGACTCGGATCCACTCCTTGGTGCGTGGGGTTGGTGACAAGGAGGGTGAGACACGTCCACGTAGCTGCAGCAGGGCGCGGCAAGGTTGTGGGGGGCAGGTGAGATGCATGTGATGCATGAGGATGCGGCAGCAGGTGGTGGATGCCGCACTGCCGCACTCGGACCCCCAACTCCTTTGTGCGCGTGGGGTTGTGCGGTGGTGAGAGATACACGTCAACGTAGCTGGAGGAGGGATTGGGGAAGGGAAGGTGGGTTGGAGGACGGGGGGGTGAGGAATTAGGTGTGGCAGGAAGTAGCGAAAGCCGCACTGCCTGCCTCACTGAGACTAACTCCTGAGCGCGTGTGGGGCGGTACATGTGGCACCACACCAGTACTCCTTGGGTGCCATACCATTTTCATAGCCAACCCTAGAGTTTTGACTTGTGTTTCAGTTTGCACGTCGCTGGCACTCCTTGCTTGTCGTGCCGTGGTTAATAACCCTAAAGTTGTGCACTTCAAATTCTCCTCGCAAGCTCACCGCTGGTACTCGATATATGGGAGTCACTTTCAAAAAAATCAAGAGTTGTAAGCTTCTGTTTTTCTCGCAGCTCACCGGTACTCGTTGCGTGTGGTGCGGGTCGAACCCAGCACCTGTTTCACCCTGTCCTCTGCCACCTGGCATGTAGGCATGACACGTCAGCAGAGGCATGGCGGGTTTTATTGTTGGGAGAAGAATGGCTTGGGAAAAGAAGGGCGGATTGAGGAGGGGTGGGGGTGGGTGGGAGACGGTGGAACCACCTGAGATTTGCGGCAGTGGTGATAAAGCACAAAGAAAAACAACAGACTGAACTGGAACCTGGCGCGGGTGAAAACCAGCACGTTGGTGCTTTCTGACAGGATGTAATCTAGTCATGTGAAAATAAAAGGAGAGGGAAAGGAAGAGTAACGGAGAGTAAAGGGAAGAAGAAAGAAAGAGAGCGAGCCTCACCGTTTGGTCGGATTTGAGAATGTAGAAGGGGTGGCGGAGGGAGTCGGCCACAAAGCTGTTGCTGATGCGGATCTGATGGGGGGAAGGTGGATGGGGCGCCAATCCAGGACAAAGGGTTACACAGTGACTGACCGCTGAATGCGCCAGCATGGGGTTGATGTGGAGAGGGAACGCTGAGAACACGGAGTGCATGGCCGACACAAGTGAGTGCATGGCAGAGAACACAAGTGACACCTTAAGGCTTATTGGCTACCACCAAGGCCTTTTACCCCACGAAGACTCCTCCCATAAACCCTGTACCTCTGCATGCGCGAGCGTGGGCTCGATGTGGAGCGGGAACGCCGGGAAGACCGAGTGCATGACGGAGGCGAGTGACAGCTGGAGGCCGCTCTGTGCCACGTCAGACTTGACCCTCTGCAGCAGCGTGTAGTGCACGCCCCCCACCACGGCAATCCCGAGGTCCAGCAATGGGCGCAGGCGCGAGTGCAGTGCATACACGCCCTTGAGAAGGATCTGGGAGGGAGGGTGGGGTGATGTGGGTTTACACCAGCAGCGTGTAGTGCATTCCGCCCACCACGGCAATCCCAAGGTCCAACAGCGGGCGCAGGCGTGCGTGTAGTGCGTACACGCCCTTGAGAAGGATCTGGTAGGGTAAGGGGAACGCAGGCCTGAATCAAGAAGGTGGGGTGCACGTTGAGTTACCACCAGCAATCACGTGGGTCGAAGGACTTCTGAAAGAATCTGGTAAGGAAGGAACAGGGACACGAGACTAGTGCACGCTTTTCAAAGAAGGAATGAAAGGGAAAAGAGAGGAAAGGAGTTATAATATCAAAGAAGGGAAGGCTACTTCAAAGGAAAGGCAAGGGACTGGAGTGTGACTGAAGCGCCCTTCTCTTCTCTTAAGTGTTACTGATGCAGTGCAGTGTCAAAGAAACATAATTCCGCCCTCGTTTTCTCCTTTTGTGGCTCTGAACCGACTCACAACGCACCACAGTGGAGGAGACAGCGTAACGAGGCGTATTTTGAGGCACCTCAAAATCCGGGTGCATTGAGGTGTATTTTGAGGCGCCTCAAATTACCGACTCACAACGCACCACAGCGGAAGGAGATGGCGTGATGAGGCGGAACCCTGAGCGGCGGCGGTCAACCGAGTCAAAGAGAGGCATCTCGATGGGCCGCCCTGCTAGCAGGTCCTGTGGTGATGAGCGTAGCGGTGGGTGAACGCACACAGAAAGAGACGAGAGAGCGTCAGGCCTTCCAAAAGTGAAGAGGCAGACAAAAGAGTGGGTCAACCGAGTCAAAGACAGGCATCTCGATGGGTCGCCCTGCAAGCAGGTCCTGTGAAGAGCGTTGGCCGCCCTGCAAGCAGGTCCTGTGAAGAGCGTTGGCTTTACACAGAAAGAGAGGACAGGGGGGCTTCAGGTCTTTCAAGAGTGAAAATGTGAGGCGGTCAACGGAGTCAAAGAGAGGCATCTCGATGGGGCGCCCTGCTAGCAGGTCCTGTGGTGATGAGCGTTGTGAGGGCAGACAGAAAAGAAGGGTGGGGCTTAAGTATTCAATGAGAGTCAAGAGAGTAAGAAACAGTCAGTTGCATGGGGTTTCCATCCATCCGATGCACAGCACCACCCATTGCACTCACCTGCATGCGGCGGTGCAGTAACTCCATGTCGAGAGCGTTCACATCATGCATGCCGCCCGTCCCCCTCGCTGCACACGCTTCCCCTTTGCATGCACTTACACCTCGGTCACCCACCTGCATGTGGCGGTGCAACAGTGCCATGTCAAGGGCATCCACATCATGCATATCGCCCGTCCCCCTCGCGGCATCCATGTAGTTCACTTGCTCTATCACCGTTCCTTCCAGCATGCTCGCGATGCGATGCGCCAGACTGAAAGGGGAGGAGAGTGGGAAACAACAGCAGTGAGGGAGATTGAGAATAGACAGAATTTTGCCCGGCAATGCTTACATTCATGACTATGACATGCCTATGTGACATGGCATGCCATGGCCTCACGCCATGGGAATCCATATCCATGCCATGTCATGCGAAATTATGCGATACGACTCACGGCTCAGCATACCTTGACTTGCCAGACCCAGACAGTACCCCCAATCCCCACCAGCAGTGGTCTCTTCACCCATGGCTGGAGTTCCCCTATGCCACAGCAAGGTGACATGCCATGCCATGCCATGCATGGATCAGCATACCTTGACTTGCCAGACCCAGACGGTCCCCCAATCCCCACCAGCAGCGGCCGATCCCCCCCAGAACTCCTGTTTCGCTCCCTCAACTCCTGAATGGCGCGCACTGCTATGAAATGGCCCGCGTCTAGGGTCTGGGAGGAGGGGGAGAGGGGGAGGGTAGGGGGAGGGGAGAGAGAGATTTGGGATCGCATATGCAGCATCTAGTCCTCAATGGCCCGCACTGCTATGAAATGGCCCGCACTGCTATGAAATGGCCCGCACAGCTATGAAATGGCCCGCGCTGCTATGAAATGGCCCGCACTGCTATGAAATGGCCCGCATCCAGGGTCTGGGAAGGGAGGGGAAGGGGGAGGGAGGAGCGGAAGATGAGTGCAACAGTGGTGGGGATAATATATGCTCCATCAACTTTTGACTGGCCCGCACTGCAATGAAATGCCCTGTGTCTAGGGGGAGGAGGGGGGATTCGAAAGGGGGGAGGGTAGGGACTGTAGGGATCATTATCACATTTGCAGCGTTAATTCCTGACGCTTCTTCATCCCCTAAATGGCATGCACGGCAATGATGCGCCCCGCATCTAGGGATTGGGCAGAGAGGGGGAAGAGGAAACGGAGAGGAATGGGGGTGGGGAAGGAAAAGGAGAAAGAATGTGAGAATCAATATACAGCATCAAGTGCTGCCGCTCCCTCTGTTACTGAGTAGCACTTGAAGCTGAGAAATTGTCAGAATGGAGTGCTGACGCTTCCTGTACAGTGCCACAATCGAATTAGGACACGGAAGAGGGAGGGAAACAGTGGCAAGGGAGCGAGTGGATGTAACCGTGGGGATAATTTTGTTAGTACAGCTCAGGAGATAAATATTAAGAAACAGATAATCGTTTCAATGGGTGAGCACTCCAAAAATGCCCCAAGCCAAGTTGTCTGCAGCCGTATCTAAGAATTATATGTGAACGACATGCACCATGCTGTGTCATGCAAAACACCTGTCAGGAATGGGATTCGAACCCATGCCCTTTCGGACCAGTACCTGAAACTGGCGCCTTAGACCAACTCGGCCATCCTGACATGTCTGATCGAACCCTAAGCAAGTTTAATCAGAATTCATTCTAAACATTTCCGCACCGATCAGAAGTCATGCAAAACATATCCGCAAAACATATTACGTACTCTGGCCGCTTTCTCCTCCCTCCCCACACACTTTGCGCATCGACACACACACGCACACGCGTAACTATTTTCGAGTCGACTTGACATCACACGCACACGCATAACTATGTCGATTCACACTCCCATACCAATTTTGAAACGTCTAAAAAAATCATCCAATGCCGTACCAATTGTGAAACGTTTCAAAAAAATCACCCATTCGCGTACCAGCTCCTTGGCGATTGGCACCAGCCTCCACGGCCCCGCTCCCCCGGAATCCCCCCGCACATCCCCCCACGCATCCCTGCGCTCGACCTGCAGCAGCCCCAGCAGTTGCCGGTGATCCAGCACGTCCGAGTCGCCATCGCCGCCACTAACGGACGCACTTAACGACGGCGAAGATCCCGAGGCTCGGGCCGCGCCGCCATGGATGGACGACGCGGGAAACATCGCGTGCCTCTATGCACCGAAGGCCTCTACGTCATGCCGTGGAAAGAGGCTTGCTAAACGTCCCTATGTTATGCTCAGAAAGGAGAATCAGCTTCTTAGCCGCGGCACGTGATATGAACAAGCTGATCCGACGGCGAATTCTGTGGTAACCTGGCTCGTCTGCCGTGCCGAGCCCTGCGAGCTATCGCTAGAGGACTGACCTCCTACGGAGCCGTTGAATGTTATCGGCTCCTGAATAACAGCATGGCAAAATAAAACTGATAAGTATGAAGTGCTGATGACCTGCCGATTGCTGCTCGGAGCCTCAACCGCTCTGGTGTCCAAAGAAAACTCTTTGGAGCACAACGAGACCCACCTAAACCGTACCAGTGTGAATTACAGTGTGAATTTCAGATGGCAGGGAGGGATGATGGACGGGATGTGCTGAAAGGCGGGAAGCGGAGGCCTTGGAAACACCCACCTGGTTTGGAAAGGGTCAAGGTTTGCATGATTGGCCTAGAAGACGAAGCCGGTGGGGTCAAAGTGGTCCCTTCGAGGAAGAACCACGAATTGGGTTCCTCGATGTGGTGCTGACGTGGAGAAAGTTGATTGCATATTGCGGCACGTGAGCTGTGACAGAGCCTTCTGATCTGTCGCTAACGTCAGCCGACAAATTGCTGAGTTCATATATGGAACGTGACTGTCCGCTCTATTAGCTTCTTGCGGATTGAGGTAGTGAAATCCATCTAAACGCAACACGCAACAGACCTAAGGAGCAACCCATGTAGCTAGAAAGCTCCTAACTAAGTGGAGCTAACTCAGCTATCGAAGTGAGGATAACTGATCTAGCCGTATATTCTGCCAATGATGCGGCCTGTGAGATTGTAGAGGAAGAAGCACGGAGCCGCTGCATCCAAGATGGACAATTCGGGGTCGAGCGTCTGGCCAAACCCCACTAAAATACACATGGCGATAAGGAGCGAGGCGTAGGAGGAATGCACTGTGACATGGTGCACCCAGCATATGCGGAGAACCTGCATAGATAAAGGAAAACCTTTTATCAAACAGAAAACTATATTTGCAACACCAAAACGTGAAGCATTTTGTAATCACCAACAATCAACACTTAATCTCCCACCTTTTTAAGCACATCATTAAGGTCCATGCATCGGTGGTGTAGCTGGCAGTCTCTGGCAAACAGCTCGCTCATGTCAGCCTCCAGCGCATCCCGGTTGGTGCAGCGCTGGGGGAACGGTGCCGCGAACCGAAGCAAAAAGTGGGTCTGCAAACCGAAGCAAAAAGAGGTGCAGGTGTGGGTGGGATGGCCGAAACACACAAGGAATGTTGAGAGATGGGGAAAAGGGGAGTGAAAAACGGGATCCAGAGCATGAGAGAGTGGAAATAGGAGGGGCAAGAGGCGGATGAGGAGAAGGGAAGGGAAGAGGGTGGGGAAGGGAAGATTGACAGACATAGTGAGCAAGAGAGAGCAATGGACAACATACAGTCTGCTTGGTGTTGGAGGACATGATGAGGCAGCGGAAGTTGGAGCATTGTGCATACGACTAACAAATGCTGATAGGAAGACAGCACTCATAGCTTGCTTGGCGTTGGAGGACATGATGGAGGTGATGAAGCAGAGGAAGTTGGAGCAGTGCGGGTGTGGGACTGTGTGGGCGCATGAGTAACGAATACTGAAAGGGTGACAGCACTGACCGCTTGTTTTGCGTTGGAGGACATGATGGAGGCGATGAAGCAGAGGAAATTGGAGCAGTGCGGGTGTGGGACGGTGCCGATATTGGACGACAGGAACAGAAGGAGGTACAAGTAGCAAAAGACAAGCACGTACCGCTTGCTGGGCGTTGGAGGACATGATGGAGGCGATGAAGCAGAGGAAGTTGGAGCGCACGTGGGCTGAGAGGTCCTCCATCAGCCCATAGTCCAGAATCACCAGCTGTAGCGCACCCTGCTGCGCCTGTCCCTCCGGCTGTAGCGCGCCCTCCCCTGTGGGTGGTGCAGGTGGCGGTGCTGCCATGCGAGCGAGGATGTTCCCAGGGTGCAGGTCCAAGTGAATGTGGTTGTCCTGTAGCAGCATCTTCAGGTACGCGTCCACTCCCACTGCTGCTATCTGCCAGGGCAGAGAGGGGGGGGAGTGGGGGGGAATGCGGTTAAGAGAGTTCAGGTGGATGTGGTTTTCCAGTAGCAGATTTTTCAAGTACGCGTCTACCCCCACTGCTGCAATCTGTGGGGGAGGGAGGAATGATGGAGGAGGGAATTTGAGAAGGGTTGGTCATCATGCAGGTCCAGGTGGATGTGGTTATCTACCCCCACTGCTGCAATCTGCCAAGCAAAATGGAGGCAAGGCAAAGGCAGGGATGGCAGGGCGCAAGGGAAAAGGAGCTATCTGCCAGGGGCGGGCAGGTAGAGAAGGAAGGGCAGGAGGTGTTGAGAGGGGTGCGGGTCCAGGTCGATGCGGTTCTCTTGCATCTTAGCTGCATGCGCAGGTCGAATGGCACCCACACCTGTCTGTGTGACTTTTGAGTCGACTCAACAGTCACCTCATCTTAGCTGCATGCACAGGTCGAATGACACTCACCTGTCTGTGTGTTGAGCGAGCTGTGCTCCTTGCAGTGCAGGAACCGGTGCAGCGGCTCCCCGCGCTCCACACCTGCATGCATTCCACACCTGCATGCACTCCACACCTGCATGCACTCCACACCTGCATGCACTCCACACCTGCATGCACTCCACACCTGCATGCACTCCACACCTGCATGCACTCCACACCTGCATGCACTCCACACCTGCATGCACTCCACACCTGCATGCACTCCACACCTGCATGCATTCCACCTGGTGGCTCCATGAATCTCCCCCCACCCACCCACCCACCCACCCACCCACCCACCCACCTGTGTGTTGAGAGAGCTGTTCTCTTTGGAATGCAGGAACCGGTGCAGCGGCTCCCCGCGTTCAAAGCTCTCTACAATGACTCCCTCGGACACCAGGTGCGGCAGCACCTGGGCGATCACCACCCTCTCCCTCACGGGATAGAAGTCGGTGTAGAGACGATGGGCATGGTATGCCTCAACACGCAGGTCAGCCTGCCAGGGAGGAGGAAGATTGAGAGGGGAAGGGAAGGAAGACAGGTCAGCGGCTCTCCAGACTGACACCCTCTGACACGAGGTGCGGCAGCACCTCCAGGTGGGGAAGGGAGCAGCAGCACCCAGGAGAGGCTCCCCGCACTCAAAGCTCTCCACAATGACTCCTTCTGACACCAGGTGAGGCAACACCTGCGCGATCACCACTCTCTCCCTCACGGGATAGAAGTCGGTGAACAGGCGGTGCGCGTGGTATGCCTCTACCTTTAGGTCAGCCTGGGAGGAGAGGGAATGGTTGATAAGGAGGGAAGGATAGGAAGGGAGCTTAGCAGGTCTCCAATAACACCCCCTCTGACACCAGGTGCGGCAGCACCTGGGCGATCACCACCCTCTCCCTCACGGGATAGAAGTCGGCGTACAGGCGGTGCGCGTGATAGGCCTCCACTCTCAGATCAGCCTGGGAGGGAGGGGAATGACTGATGGGGTCAAGGAGGGAGAGGGAGAGCTTTGCATAAATCCAATTGTTACTGCTGAACATTTTTCTCACTCTCAGTCTCACCCTAAAATCCCACAGTCACCCTCAATCCCAGTCTCACCTGCTCTCTCATCGTGTGACTGAACTGCTCCAGCCCCGGCACCCGATCCACCACCGCAGCCACCCCCGCCATCACCTCAAAGTCCTGCTTGATCCTCAACTCAACCCCACGCGCACCTCTCATCCTTGCTCTGTGTGCCTAGAACCCGCATTTCCCTGTGCGACCTTACTCTCTGATGCTCACCTGCTCTCTCATCGTGTGACTGAACTGCTCCAGGCTGCCCTGCAGCCGAATCCACTTGAGCCCCGGCACACGGTCCACCACTGCCGCCACCCCATACCTCTTCTCTATATTTGTGCACCCAAAATCTCATCCTCAGAACTATGCTCACCTGCTCTCTCATCGTGTGACTGAACTGCTCCAGGCTGTCCTGCAGCCGAATCCACTTGAGCCCCGGCACACGGTCCACCACCGCAGCCACCCCCGCCATCACCTCAAAGTCCTGCTTGATCCTCAACCCTACCCGCGGATGCCGCACTTTCACCACCACCCACTCAGGCACGTGCGCACACGCGCCCCTCACTCTCGCCCGGTGCACCTGCGCTATGCTCCCCGACGCCAGAGCCCCCCTCTCAAACTCCTCAAACAGATCCTCCAACGGGCACCCGAGGTATTTCCGCACCGCGCGGCGGGTATGCGAGAAGGAGTGTGTCGGGGCCTGGTCTTGGAGGGACCCGAGGACGAGGCAGAGGGAGGGCGGGAGGAGGTCTTCTCTGGTGGAGGCCCACTGGCCCCATTTGATGAACGCTGCTCCCCCCCGGCGCAGGGCGAAGAGTAGAAGCTGGTGGATGGCGTCGCGGCACCGCTGCTTCATGGAAGGTTCCGTTTGGGAAGCTTCCTGTGCAGCTGCTTGCTCCGACGGAGATTTGTTTGAGGAACCTTCCTTGGATTGATTCTGCCGAGCGGCCACCACCCCCTTGCTCTCCCCTGTCTCTTCTCCCGCTTCCTTTTTCTCCTCGCCTGCCCGTGCGTCTGGGAGTAAGCTGTGCAGCAGAAGCAGGAGGGGGCCGAGGAGGAGGAGGGGGGAGAAGATGAGAGCGAGAAAGACAGCCCGAAGGAAGAGAGAAAAGGCCTGTTGCCAGCGTGACAGCGGCCAATCAGAGCGTGCCATGTGCCCCTGATGGGGTTGTGAGAGGTTGACGTTGCTGCTGAGAGGGGGTACGTGAGTGGCTGCGTCTATAGTCACATTGGGTAAGGGCACAGGGTCTGGCAAGCCTTGGCATTGGTGGCACTGTCTTGCTAAGGGAATTGTGCTGTTGCTCGTGTTGTTACCGCTGCTGCTGTTTACGCAGCGCCCCAAAAATGAAGAAATTGAACTGCTTCTCTTCTTGCTGCCGCTGCTACCACTGCTGCTGCTGCTGCTGCTGCTGCTGCTGCTGCTGCTGCTGCGAGTGCTACTAGTCCCGCTGCTGCTCATGTTGTAGCTGCTGGTGGGGCTGCTGCTGCTGGTGGGGCTGCTGCTGGTGGGGCTGCTGCTGGTGGGGCTGCTGCTGGTGGGGCTGCTGCTGGTGGGGCTACTACTGGCGCTGCTGGTGTCCGAACCAGTCCAGGAGCTGCCGTCGTTGATGATCAGGTCAGTGCTGCTGTCCAAACTGCTGCTCCTGCTGCTGATTCTGCTGCTGTTGCCGCTGCTCATGCCACTCCCTTTCTCCACCCTCTCCTCCCCAATCTCCTTCTCTCCCCGCCCGACTACCTGCCCCGCTTCCCCTTTCTCCGTTCCCTTTTGTTGTGGTGTACGAGAAGGGAAGGGCGAGGAGAGGGGAAAGGAGAGGGTAACGAGACTGTGAGTGGAAGGCCAGGGGTGGGGTGATGGGAGAAATTGGGAAGGGAAGGGGAAGGATGGTCCTGCTGCTGCTGCTGATGATACCAATGATGGAGGGAGGATGGGAGTTGGCATGATGTACGGGGCGGCGCTGTTTGTCCTGTAGTGCAGCAGAGTGGCGGCCTCTGTCAGGTCCAAGACGCCACCAGCCTGTGGGATGCTGCCACGTGGCAAAGGGAGAGGTGGAGGAGGAGAGTGAGGTGAGAGAAGAAGCATGAGAGCTGGAGGAGAGATGGAGTGAGACGAACGAAGAGATTTATTAGTCATGCGCGTGCCATACGAATAGCTCCCCTCCCACTCAAGATATTGTCAGACATGGACAGGTGTTATGTTACACATGAAGCATGACACATCCACAACACCCATTCCCTGTACCCTCATACGGTGGATAAACCATCAACGGAGCTCTAGGCTACTCACTCATGGTACGTCTTGGCCACTCCCATCCATGCTCTCCTATGCGCCCTCCTCCACGCCACCCAGCTCCTACGAACACTCCCAAGTCTTGATCCCACCCCGACCATCCCATCACCCAAACTCTCACAACAGCCCATCACAAGCCACTCACTCGTGGTATGTCTTGATCAGCTTCGCCACTCGGCTTGCTGCCCTTCTATGCGCCCTCCTCCACGCCGCCTCGCCCTCCCTCCCACACGCCCCTGCTGGGCCCTTCCCCACGCGCACCCGCACTCGCTCATACTCCACGGCTATTGGGAGAGATGCTCCGAGACAGACCAGCGTGTGCTGTTGGGGAGAGGGAAGGGAGGGAGTGGATGCGAAACAAGGGAATATGAGCTTCCACACGCCCCTGCTGGGCCCTTCCCCACGCGCACCCGCACTCGCTCATGCTCCACGGCTATTGGCAGGGACGCGCCCAAGCAGACCAGCGTGTGCTGTAGCGAAAAGAGAGGGAAAGAGTGGGTGGGAGAATGAGTTGCAGTTTCCCTCCTGCACCTGCGCCTGTACCGGCACCTGCACATGCGCACTCGCTCATACTTCACGGATATTGGCAGAAATGCTCCCAGACAGACTGGCATGTGCTGTAGGGGCAAGGGACAGGAGGGACGGAAGGGAGGGAGTGCATGGGGAGCAAGGAGGAGGGATGATGAACAGTTCAACACGCACACCCGCACTCGCTCGTACTCCACGGCTATTGGTGGGGGCGAGGACGAGCCTAGACAGACTAGCATGTGCTGTGCGGGAGAGGACGGGAAAGTTGACACGGCACGTCCCTTGCAGGGCTCAGGATAGCAGGGCGTTTTACCCTGTTTGCTCTGCATTTCAGGGTGAAAATTTTGGACCCACACTGCTAGAATTGGGTTTGGCTGGGCGTCCACTCTGTCATCGTCAGGCAGGGCTGAAAATACACCCTGCAAATGATGTTTTACGCTTATGTGCAACACTGCCTTTTCCCGGCTGGTTACGGCAGACACCCTGCCAACTTTTCCTCTTTTGTTGAACTTTACTAACTGCGCGGCTATTCCTCTAAGTAGCATTTGTGCGTGAAAGCTCCAGAATCGGATAAGTACTTGAAACACCAGGGATTCAGCTCTAGCACGATGAGTGGCGTTTGTGACTGAAATGTGTCCAGTAGCGTTTGTAACTGAAATTCCAGAATCGGCTAAGTACTTTCAACACCATAGATTCAGCTCCAGCACAAAGAGTGGCGCGTTTTAGTAGTGACCGCATCTAGAAGACCCACCGACAGGCCTCTCATCTCCCCACCTACACCACTAAAACCTCAACCACCACACACTTACGCATAGTGTCGACCACTTAGAATCGAGCCAGGAAGATCCAGTTCGACAAGATTTTATGGCTTCGAGGAATCATCGATATGGCAGGATCGACTTCTAGACCTAAAAGTTTTAGCTAGGCAGTGTTTTTGGATTTCTCACCCTGCCAGATTCGACCTCGAAAAAAAATCACACTGCCATTTCTTGGGTACGACCGCCAAGGCACACTGCAGAGGCAGGGTGTAACGTGTCACAACTCGGATCAGGCAGCGTGCCCCAAAATGAATCGAGAGCCCTGGTCCCTTGGTTTCGAGACGTTCCATACCACAACCACACGTTCAACACTAGAGTTACCTTGCCACCATTCTCTTTATGATTGTCCTAACCTAATCATTGCTGCAACCGACTCCTTTTATTGAGGCGTCCCATAACGCGTCCAACTCACATGTAATCTTGGAGCCAGTTTCTTGAATATGGCCCCGCCCACTGCTACCGCCACTGCTGCCCTCCCAAACACGCCTCCACCTCCCCCGCCTCCCCCAATCTCTCCCCATCCTTCCCCCTCCGCCTCCCCTGGAGCATGCAGGCGCAGGTTCCTTTCCCATCCATGCTCCACGTCAGCATCAGCAGCCACGTCACGCATGATGCCAGATGGCGCACTAACGGCATCATCACAATCATCTCCAATATAATTAGAATTAATATCATTAGAGTAATCATCATTGCCGTCATCGATATACGCATTCTCCTCCCCACTAATTTCCATTTCGCCCCCATTCCAAAAGTCTTCCCCCCCATCCTCCTCCCCGTCTCCCAAATTCCCATCATCATCCCCATCAGCATCCCCCATCCCCATCCCTCCCCCTTCCCCGCTCAGGCTGCTTTCCCCCTTCCCCCCGCATGTGCTGCTGGCCGGGCGCGGGCGCAAGCGGGGGCGGAGTGAGAGGAGGCGGGAGAGGGGGGCGAGGGCGCGGGAGAGGGGGGAGAGGAGGCGGGCGAGAGGAGAGAGGAGGGGCGAGGAGAAGAGAAGGTGGAGAAGGGCTAGAGTGGGAGTCGCGACAGAGAAGGACGCTGGGAATAGGGCCTGCTTGGGAAGGGGACCAGGGAAGGGGAGAGAATGGGGTGGGAGGGGACGGGGGAATGGGCAGGAGGAAATGGCGGAGAGCAAATGTAAGAACGGGAGGGGGTTTGGGAAGGCAGGGAGGGGATGAGGATCGTGAGGTAGCGAGAGTAAGTCGGTGACGATTCAATCCAAACAAAAGCATGAAACACGTGGCATTGAACACGTGGCAGAAAAACAGTCCGTCTGTGTTGGAAGAGTTCCACACAAGGCACGTGTAGAAGATAGTCAATTTGCAGTTTAGCTTGCTTTACATACCTGGCAGACGAGAAGCAGCACCGCAGCGTTTCCTGTCTGCAACAGCTTTGCAACGGCTGACGGTATCACTGGTGCTGACGTTGAAGACGTTAATAACGAGGATGATACTAACGAGGATGATTCTGATGCTGGTAACGAGTATGGCGATGACGGGGATTGCGTTGGCACTCTCGAGAATCTTCTTTGTCTACGGTGCGCATGATTGTGCAAGGATGACCGTCCGATTCCAGTAGCACATCCCACCGCCACTTGCACCACGTGCAGAGTCACATGCTGCCAAGAGATGCCGCCCAGTCCACCTGGACCCATCCCCAGCCGCAGCGGCAGCCACACGTGCGCCTTCCCATTCCCCCTCGTAGCGGGGGAAGCGCACGGCGTGGGGTAGAGACGGGCGCGGGGTGGGGGAATGCGCGCGGCTCTTGACGTAACCCGGCTGTGGGTGGCGGAAAGCGGGGGACCTGCGACTGGCCGCAGGCACGCGGACCAGTCGGGGGAAAGAGATGCCTGTATGGCGGGGGGGTGGGAAGGGGGAAAAGAGGAGGGGACACAGTCGCAACATGTCGCATGTTAAGCCCCGTCGCAGAGTGGCCCAGTCGCACGTCATCGCAATTTACGACGTGCGACCAGTCCCACAACCACCAGAGTGCGAACCACCGAGAGACTTGCACTGGAACACACCTTGGAGTCTCTTTCCTGAGAGAACGACATGGCGCCTGCTAGTAACGCGTACGTCCGTCGTCGAATTCGCCGAGCCCTCGGAAAGCTTGAGCTGGTCAGGAAGTAACGACTCAGACCATAGCTCCGCTTCGCCTCGCGCCGCTTCTCGCTTACCCGCACTAAGGCGTAGTGGAGGCGAATAAAAACAGTGATCAGACGCCTACAGAAAATTTAGCAGAATCGACGGACTGCGAGCGATCCAGTTATCACCTCCGCTCGCCAGTAGTAACATTCCGTACGTCCACATTACCAAGGCGTTTTACTAATCCAACGGCCATCGCTACTTTCTGTGGCGCTGCAAGGCCCAACCTCGCACACTACCCTCTCACAAACAGTACTTGCAGACCACATTCCTAACTGCACGAGTAGCAGCGTAATATACAGGAGTCGCATATGCAGTACCAGCTGCCTCTCAAGACATTACACGTTCACACTCATCAATCTTGTGCCAAACGATGATGATCCACTCCAGCCAACTTTGCGGCGGAGATACCAGCGAGGAGGTGTTACAAGAACCAACGGTCAGATTTTCAGGAAATCCCAAAATGCCCTGACCTGAAGTGTGTGGTGTCGGTTCTCCGCCCAGCCTTTGGGAATTCTGGGCGCTAGTCGGAGTTCCCGAGGTCCGTGAACTCCAACCACTCACTTGTCCGAAGGCCAGAGATGCTCCACTTGTCACGCCCTCGAAACATGAACAAAGCCAGAAGTGAAGCACTACATAGTCGAAGACAGTTTAAACACAAGTGCATATGTAAATGTTTGAGAAAAGGATGCGTCTTACCTAATCACACTGCTACACCTGTACACAACTGTACACCTCTGGCTTGTCACACCCCATCCACATATAGCATCATGCAGGCTAATGCTTCAAACAATTGAAATTAAGAAACTTGGCCCGTTCTCCAAATACATGGAGTGTAGCCAAGTGAAAGAAACCCCCAAAAACAAACCACTTATATTACAAGCCACTTCTATTACAAATAGACGACTTCCTTCCAAATGTGGTCAAAACTTAAGTGTACCTGCACGCAGCTTTCCTAGCCCTGACACATTGGCCTACTGCATCCCATCTCTTCATGCTCTGCGGCTTGTACTGGTTATACGCATCGGGCTTGATACACTCCGTCCACGCGTTGCATCCTGCAGGCTTGTGCTGCAGGCAGTTGGCAAATGAGTAACTTGGCCCGTTTCCCAAGTCCAGGTTGTATAGGCGGGTTGTGAAGCCATGTGCATTGTTGTCAGCACACATCGCCTGCGTGAGGTCAGGATCGGGAAACTGTCATCGGTAAGAAGTGGGGTGGTGATTAGGATCATTTATGACTGCACTTGATTGATTGTCAGTATTGGTGTGTCGATGGTGCTAGCTTATAATGCAGCAGCACGGAAAGGAGTGGGATTCAAGCTACTCTCAAGCAACACAACCAGCCTGTGATAACCATATTCCATCCGAGTCGAAAGCGCATGTTGCTCCAGACACTATGCGAGGAACACCGTATGGTCGACAAACTGATTGGTGCACCCGCAGCCACGCATGCTTCTCTGGTACCTTCCACTCCCCACCATGTAATAGTTCCACTCTTCCCCCAAATCTTCTCCCAATTCCTGAAGCCCCCCCTGAGGTGCTCCAGCTATCCCTGTACTAAGCCACAATCACCGTCAAAACATAGCACCATACCACTACCCACCCTTCGGTCGGCTGATTGCACTCTTCCTTCACTCCATGAATCATCCCAACTCACCTGTGGGTATCAAATGTCGTTCTTCACCACCACGGAAGTGCCCCAGCACTCCACATACCCAGCCAAAGACAGTGCCTTGTTGCAAAGAATGAACTCATTGGAATAGACGCAGCCGCCTTTAACATTCCTCTCCACTCTCCACTGCACCAATTCATGCACACCCTTCCACTATATCCCCCACACCCCACCCCCCCCGCCCCCCCCCCCAAAAAAAAAAAAAAAAATCACCTGTGGGAATCGAATGCCGTTTTGCACTCCTGCCGAATTGCCCCAGCTCTCCACATACTCAGCCACAAACACCGCCTTGTTGCGAACAATAAACTCATTGGCATAGTTGCACCCATACCTGCCGCTGTACCACTCTCCACCGCTCCAATCCGTGTACTGGTTGCACTCTTCAACAAGCGCCCAGTCAAACAGGCCGGCCATGTGGGAGGGTGCGAGGGGGCCGGGGTTCGTGAGACCCACTGACATGCCGTACCTGATGAGGGGGGTGGGGTTAGGGGGGGAGAAAATATTGTTAAGTCGGAACGCTGGAGTTTTTGAAACCCAATGACATACCAACCTGAGGCAGGGAGAAGAAAGACGTGGTAAGTTGGGACGGGGGAGAAAGGGGGGACGGAGGGAGGGGGTTGGGGAGGGGGAGGGGAGGGGTGGGGAGGGGGGTTGTGTAGGGTGGAGGGGGTGGTTTGTGTGGACTTGGGTTTCTCAGGCCCACTGACATGCTGTATCAGATAAGCATAGGGGGTTGGAAGGGAGGTGCTTGAGAAAAAGGAGAGGAGATGGATGAAGCAAATGAGTGAATGGCAGAGCTCTGAGACGATGGGAGGGACAGAAAGGGCCATTGTTCATAAGGCCAACTTATGTGAAGCTGAAAAGAAAGGAGAGGTGGTTCAGGGTTTAAGATTTCAGGTTTAACATGAGCATGACAAAACCCCTTACTATGACTCGAAACCAAAGAATTAGGGAAAAACTCAGCGACTGTGCTTAAATTGTGGTGCTGATCTACCGTGCCATCCACACAGTAAAAGAAAACGTAACGGGAATTGTCCACCTGGGTTCGAAAGGTGAATGCAACAGCGGGTGAACTCACTTGTGTACTGTATTCGCAATCCACGAGTTGAAGTTGAACTGGTCCTTTTTCGTGATGGTGAAATGGCTAATGGCGTTCACCATGATGTTCCCATTGTATGCATCCACATTGTCCGACTCAATACCGTCACACCCCTTGCTCTTGGCCAGCTGTCAAAGGGCCAAGAAAAGAGACCACAGGCAGTCGATGGGGGAAACCAGGACTTAGACCACGAAAACGGCTGACGCAATACCCTGAGCTACGCGTGTGTGATGCACAATCCGCACAAGAAGCTGTTTGGCACTCCTCTTACCTGAATCCGCTTTTCCAGTATTTGACGCATGGCAGTCGTCTTCACGTCCAGCCAACGCTCGCCCTGCCATGCTTCCGAGCAGTCCTCATTCTGCCAACAAAAAAACAGAATTGAAGGTAAACGATGAAGGGCTCATGTTAGAAACCGAAGCTCGTTATGCCAGCTCCTGAACGAATGATCGAGCTCCTGACATAAATCTTGCAGAAGTTTTCAAATATGTACAAGGCTCCTTGCATTCCGACTCACCTGACAAACCATCCCACCGAGAGTAGATCTCGGGAACTGGTTGTAGTCGCTGCGATAATCCTCGGCAGTCCCAAAGCTGAAGTAGCAGAACACCTTCTTTCCCATCGTTTTCAACCTCGATATAGTGCTCACCGACACGCTGAACTCGTCAATATCGAATATCTTTTCATTATGCGACAATGCTTTGAGGTTCGTGTCAGAGATCTGCTAGTAGAAGGACGTTCCCGGCGGGGGAAAGTACAATCCGTTGCTCGTGACGTTAACAGTGAGGCAAACTGCGATGAATGTCAGAGAGCCGACCACGCGAAAGAGTCTTGCGATTATAGACATGGCGGTAGAGTTTCGGTGTTTGAGAGGTCAAGAGGCGGTACTACGTCGCGCGAAGTGAGTCGTGCAGGTAATGTGTAAGGAGGCGGAAAGAGTTAGTACTTCGTCTTTGCCACGGCCAATGCATCCGATTATAAGCGATCATCTGGCGCTCCTGCGCTTCGGCTTGTGTGCCTGCCGAACCACAGTGGGGAACATCGATACTGTGAAAGCCACTCGTTGCACTAAAGAAACCTTCGTGGCTTGCATAAACCAACAAACCCTTTCTCCGGTCCTCATGCCACGTGGCGAGGCGCATTGTTCCTCTGATAACGACGCTCCAGTGAACATGTTCTGGCTTCGCGTTGAAAAAATTATCGTGAGTGGGAAAAAAATTATTGGTGTGTGGTTCACGGAGGAAGCCGAAAAGCAAGGCGTAGGCAGGAGCGACGTTGCTGTTGAGCCTCGTCTGCCTGGGTGCGACGTCACTCCTCCTGCCTTGCACCTTGCTCTCGCTTTCCGGTTGCAGCTGTGATGTTGGGGGGGTTGAAAATTGAAATGTGGAGACTCCAAGGGCGAATAGCCGTTACGGTCTGACAATATAGAAATTCGTATGTGGTTTTTATACATTATATCGCCTACGAATTGTTCAACAAACACTCCTATAGCGGATCAATGTGATCTCCGCCCCCACCCCATCCCCCCTCAGGTTGTTTTCATTGAGGAAAATTTTGTTGGTCACCAGATTTCTTGCATCGCCGCCTCGGACCACGCAGATGTGTGTAACTGTAAGGAAAATTCCTTTTCCTTACTTCGCGTCCCCGCTCATCGCGTACACCACTGTAGCACCACAGTCAGCACCGTTACCACTCGCAACCCTCGCATCGACAATCCTCCCACCACCTTCGCACGTTGCACCCCGACCTCACGGCTCGGCGGGTAACCCGCGCTCCGGGCCTCCGCTTCAACATTTCCCCAACCTCAGTCCCAGGCCCGTCGCGCGTCAACCACAGTCCATTACTGTTACCACTGTAGTTTCGCTATATATTCTTCGCTCATACCCTCGCTCATTGTACTCTTGCTTCGATAGTGCAATTCTCGTTTGATCACTCAATTGCGCTCGTAATACTTGGTATTCAGAGCCTACGATCTCTTCTCGGACCGCACCCACACCTTCGTTTCCCCAATATCTCAATTTTTGGGAGGGGTAGACGTCTCTCAGCGACACAGCACCGCCGCTCGTAGTGCTCTCTCGTAAGCACGCACGACCACGACAGAGGCTCTCACTGAGCTTGCCTGACACCCCCGCCATGGC